AAACAAATGAGACAATGAAATAAACGGCTCTTTTATTTATGAAGGCCCCGGGAGCAGCGCTAAGGGCTGCAGGACCCAGTTCTCTTTGCATTTGGTCTGTCGGAAGTTGTCTTCGTGCTTTCTTGGACCGGTAGAGTCCCGGTCCTCTCTGGAGGGGCTCTGCCGCCTCTCACACTCCGATCTCTGCTGCTCTTCTGCCCCGCAGTCTCTTCCCTCCTCTTTGCCTCCCCCATCCCCTCGGCCTCCAGGAAGCCATCGTGGCCAGCCAAGCACAAGCCCACCCCCATTGCAGCAGTATTCCTCCTCCCCAGAGGACCTTGAAGGTCGCACCGGCCCTGCCCCAAGCCCCAGAAAAAGGGACTCTTGGAGGGAGTGTGCTGGCTTCTCCGAAAAGGGGCGGAGCTTGACACCTGTGCTGTCCCTGCAGTGTCCAGGCCTGCCTGAGCTGCACCCGTGACAGTGTCCTGAGTGGCCACCTCCTCCCTGGGAGGGAGGCCGCGATAGGTACTCTCCCTTTGCTGCTGCTGGGGCTAGAAAGTTTTCTCCGCGTTGGGGAAGGGGCTAACGTTCTTATCCAAAGCACTCATCCTGCTGCCGGAAAGGGAGCTGTGCAGAGGCTGGAAGCTGCAGGACTAGGCCGGAGAGAGCTTTTGACAAGCCTGGCTCTTCCTGCTTCCCACCTTTTTTTGCCAAATACCTTTGGGTCCTGGAGGCTTCCAAGGGTTCTCTCCCTTGAGCAGGTGTGGGAGGGGCTCAGCCTGCTCCTCCTGGGGGCTAGCCTCCTCACCTCTGCCCTGCCCTCAGCAGCTATACCTAACCCCACGGCACCCCACCCAGTGTCGATATTCACAGCCAAGTCCCCAGGCCTGCATGCTGGAGATTTCTGGATCCTTCCCTGGGAGGGAGAGTTCTCCTAACTCGATTAGACAGGAGCCTTCATTCCTTGACTCGTGTCATTTGGGAGCTATTTATTTATTCCTACTATTTAATTTTTAACATCCTCTCAGGGACCAGGGGCCTCCTGCTTTTCAGAGGCCCAAGTGCATTTATCCCAAAAGGAGGCATCTTCTTGACATCCCCCACCCCCAACCCCCCGAATTCCCAAGGTCCTAAGGTCCCTTGCCTGGTTGCTCTGGAAGCTCTTGCCAATAGGAATGATAGCAACACTGGAAGAGGGTGGGAAGGTGGAGGGTGTCAGCAAGGGAGATCAAGGCAGTTCTTGCTGCCCCTTCTCTGGCTGTGCTTTACTTGAGGGAACTGGCAAGAGGCCAGTTTTTTTGTTGATGGGGCCTGGATTCTGGCTTGAAGAAGCCATGTTTGGCATGGGTGAAGTGAAAGGGCCAGGAGGTTATGGAGGCCCCTTCACTTCCAGTCCCATAGCGGGACTGGAGCTGTTTTTCTGATCTGATTTTTCAACTTGAGTTGAGCAAAATCAATTCTAAGTGAGTGCATGTATGACAGGTCAACATGTTAGGAAGGAGTCAGAAAGTATTCATACTGATGCTCCTTATGAGAGAGACAAGAAGCATCCGGTCAGTAACTGGGAGTGGAGGGGGAGTTTTGTTTTGAAACTATGCACTGTCAGGGATTTTTCTGCATCCATTTATACATTCATGTGGTTCTGCAGGACCCTGCCTATGGAAGTTAACAAATTTCTTCTCCCTCCAGACTCTTGGATGACTACCTAGATCCCCAACTTCCTGGTTAGTTTCTTCCACAGGCTTCCATGAGCTCAGTGTCCCAAGACAGCAAAAATCTGATACACCCTCTAGAAGCAGGGGAGTAGCAAATTTAGGTTCTCTTCAAAATTATTTGTGTAATATGAGTGCCTTTGCAGCTTAGCCCCAAAGTGCTACTTATGTTTCCCAAGGTTTTTTCTATTCAAACCATATTTGGTTTCATGCCCCTTTATGGGCGTACGGTAACAGAAACGTCCTTCATTCACATGAGACCCTTTTGTTCAGTGGTAACATCTAGTACTTGGAAATCTTTTTTTTTTTTTTTTTTTTTTTTTAAGATGGAGCCTTGCTCTGTCACCCAGGCTGGAATGCAGTGTTACAATCACCGCTCACTGCAACTTCTGCCTTCCAGGTTCAAGCAATTCTCCTGCCTCAGTCTCCCGAGTAGCTGGGAGATTACAGGCCCACGCCACCACACCTGGCTAATTTTCTTGTATTATTTTTTTTTAGTATAGATGGGGTTTTACCATGTTGGCCAGGCTGGAACTCCTGACCTCAGGTGATCCACCCGCCTCAGTCTCCCAAAGTGCTGGGATTACAGGGGTAAGCCACTGCTCCCAGCCAGAAATCTTTTTAAATAAGAGAGTGATTCTACTCTTCTAAGCATACAGAGACCAGGCCAGATGAATGTAATTTGGGGAAAATCAATATGGTACCTCTCTGCATTAATCCTGCCAGGCACCATATTTTAGGAAGGTCCATGCTCCAGGATGCATTCATGTCTAGGATAAAGTGTGAAAATTAAGAAGTTTAGAGGGCAGGTGCAATTGTGGCAAGTGACCTGCCAATAAAGTAGGTGCAGCTGTAGAAGCTGGCATAGGTCTATCTTTAATGGTGCTTTCTCCCTGGGAACACATTAGGCTTGTCCTTCGTTGTTGTTTTTTCCCTTTATTCAGAGCTCTTTGAGAAGTGATATTTCTAACATCCTCCTCATGCCATCTCACCATATCCATCTCCCAGCCTCCATCTGCATTCAGCTAAGGGCGGGAAACTGACCTAGTGCCTGTGTTGCAGACCATTTCTGAGGTCTCTACCCATCCAAGGAGGCAGAGCTGTCATTACTGTCCTCCATGCCTTCAGCAGCCGCTCTCACAGCTAAGGTACACACTACCCCTTCTGCCTCGCCCCTCTCCACCCCGGCACCAAGTCTTTTGCTGCTTATGTCTAAAGGGATCGCCTATATTTAACTGCCTCAGTGACCTATCCTCTTTCTTCTCATGTGCCAGATGTTAAGACGAAGGAGGAATACAACACATACTCAAGCCTCAGCTGTTTAGTTGTTTTCACTGGGGCTCGCTTTTCTGGGATGGTATATATTATCAGACTGGCAAGCCTAACTCCATAGGTTTACAGGAAGTAGGCATATTTTTATAAAACAATTGTGTCCTCCCCACATTTTGCTATGTTAATATTTGCCTCTAACAATTTGCAGCTGTTTCACTTTTTCCTCATTTGTCTCTAAGTTGAAGGCCTTGTTGGAAGGGACAGCACAGGAACAGCCTTGACAGTCTGTAATTATTGTACAAATATTTTAATAGCATATAAATAAGTATATTCCTTTTATTTTGAAACAAATGATCAGACACTGCCTTTTTTGTGTTTGCTGCCTGTGGCACCCTTTTTTAAAAAGACTGTTACATATTAAAATAGTGTACATATATATATAAATATTACCTCTTTTGCTGTACAGTTGTGATAGAGACTGAAGATTTTATTTTTTGTGTGCTTTTTATAAGAAAAAAATTAATACACTAAAGAATCTTGCTGATGTGATTGTAATGTACCTATGTAACTTATTTACTTTTGAATGTTCTTCTGTATCTTTAAACCTTTTATTAAATAAGGTTTTAAAAATTCAGAGTTGCATGCTGTGTTCTCTGGGATTTTCACCATCTGGGATTGATGTAAGTGGGTCTTGTCTTGCTTGCACAAAGATTACTCAACATTTTCGAACCATACGGATTCTCTTTTAGCAGCCTATTGTCAATGATGCCAGCCAGGAAAAGGGAAATAACATATTAATGTTTACCTGGCTAAAAGATGACTGAGTAGACATAGACAAACATCTTTTTTACAAAATTTTAGACAAGAAAAAGGCAACTCCGTATCTTACAAAAATATACGTAAATGGCACACGCCGACATTTTGGCTGCGTTGGGATGAAATATGCAGGGTGCAGAGTGTGGTTGGGGGAACAGGGAAGCTACGGTTCTGAGGATATTCTCACGTGCAGGGTGGACTGGCTGAGCAATCTGAGATGAGTCCACCATGAGGGATGCATTTCCAACAATATCATCTTAAGTCCACTCCAGGATTGGGTTATTTTTAAAATACGGTGCTTAGCAGTCTTTGTTCTCTGTTTAAAAAAAAAAAGAAGAAGAAAATTACGCCATCAGAGAAACAGGTGCCCGGGGCCCTCGCTGGCACCATGGTAACCGCTGGACTCCGCCCCACCCCCACTCCCCCGCCCGCGGTGGGCCGCCAGAGCAGACGAGTCTCGTGCAGTCTGAGAAGCCGTTGCCATGGCGACACCCGAGCGGCTCCGCCGCGGGGGCGTGACGGAGTGGGGCAGACGCTGCTCACGGGCTGGCCCCACCCTTCACTGCTGCAGTAACATCGCCGCAGGTTGCGGGTAGGACACTACGTCTGGGTAGCAGCGCAGTGCAGATCGTTGCGGCCGCCGCTGCTCATCCTCTCTTCTGCTGTCTCCAGCCCAGCTTCGCCAGCTCTCCTGCTCCTCTGTTGCCTTCGTTTCTGGTCCTCGGCGGTCCTCGCCACCCTCCCGGAAGAGTCCCTGGTCCTGCCAAGAAGCCGCTCTCAGCTGGCCCGCAGCCGCCGCGACTTCGGCACAGTCTGCCTGTGCCGGGTCTCCCAAACGACCTCTCCTCGCCCTCGGAAGACCGGGCTGCGACCGCGAACGCCAGATCCTCTCTGGGAGCCGCCGCGAGCGCCCGACGACCACACCTCGGCGGTTCTCGGCCCATCGCGCCTGCCTTCGCCGCCCGCCTTCGCTCCTTGCCCGCTCCACGACGACGCGACGCCTCGGCTGCTGGCAGCGGACCCGGACCCGGACCCGGACCCAGACGCAAGATGGCGACGGCTGCGTGACTGCCTCAGCGTTTCCGAGCTCGTCTCCAAGTGCGTCCACTGACTGACTGTGGGGGCAGGGAAGGGCGAGGTCAGGACTCTGTGTCTTTGTTAATCGTGACTGCGTGAAACTCGCCTCCCTTGGGCCTACTTGGGGGGAGTGTCTGGCGTTGTTCTAAGGCCAGGAGCAAGGTGAGCCACTGTCTGTTGGTAGAATTAGCGTCTTGATAGTTGACAAAATGGCGATGATACTGTTGGAAGACTGGTGCAGGGGAATGGATGTGAACTCCCAGAGAGCTCTGTTGGTCTGGGGCATCCCAGTGAACTGTGATGAGGCTGAAATCGAAGAGACCCTCCAGGCTGCGATGCCCCAGGTGCCCTACCGAGTGCTTGGGAGAATGTTCTGGAGGGAAGAAAATGCGAAAGCAGCCTTATTAGAGCTCACTGGCGCTGTCGATTACGCCACGATCCCCAGGGAGTTGCCGGGCAAAGGAGGAGTCTGGAAAGTGTTCTTTAAGCCCCCGACTTCCGATGCTGAATTTTTAGAAAGATTGCACCTCTTCCTAGCTAGAGAGGGCTGGACCGTGCAGGATGTTGCCCGTGTCCTTGGGTTTCAGAACCCTACTCCGACCCCGGTCCCAGAGATGCCAGCAGAGATGCTAAACTATATTTTGGATAATGTTATTCAACCTCTTGTTGAGTCCATATGGTACAAGAAGCTGACACTTTTCTCGGGGAGGGACATCCCAGGGCCTGGAGAGGAAACCTTTGATCCTTGGCTGGAGCACACTAATGAGGTCCTAGAGGAGTGGCAGGTGCCAGATGCAGAAAAGAGGCGGCGGTTGATGGAGAGTCTTAGAGGCCCCGCCGCTGATGTCATTCGCATCCTCAAGACCAACAACCCCGCGATAACTACTGCCGAATGCCTGCAGGCGCTTGAGCAGGTGTTTGGGAGCGTTGAGAGCTCTAGGGATGCCCAGGTCAAATTTCTGAACACTTACCAGAACCCGGGAGAAAAGTTGTCTGCTTATGTCATTCGTTTGGAGCCTCTGCTACAGAAGGTGGTGGAGAAGGGGGCCATTGATAAAGATAATGTGAACCAGGCTCGTCTAGAGCAGGTCATTGCCGGGGCCAACCAAAGCGGGGCCATCCGAAGGCAGCTGTGGCTTAACGGGGCTGGGGAAGGGCCGGCCCCAAACCTCTTTGAGTTGCTGGTGCAGATCCGTGAGGAGGAAGCCAAGGAAGAGGAGGAGGAGGCTGAGGCCACCCTTCTGCAGTTAGGCCTGGAAGGGCACTTCTGAGTCCCAGGAAAGGCAGCTTTAGTGCAGACCCAGATCACAGCTACTGTCCTTGTCCCTGTGGGGTCTTACAGATGTGTCTGAGTAGTAAAGGCTTAGTCCTGTTACATTTGTTTTTGGAGGGCAGGATTTGTCAGGCCTGAGTATTCATGTAACATTCTAAAATTGTGCACGCAAGCACTGTGAGCTGCTAGCGGATCTTGCTGGCTACAATGCCGTTTACCTGGTTGGACACAGAGCTTAGTGCACGCGGTCATCATGGCCATCATAATCAGTTGTGAAAAACGTGTGAACCTGTGACACTTCTATTCCACGTTGAATGTGAAATTGCATGTTCAGATGTTTACTGCGGGGCCTGGCTCACAGGAAGTGTTCAGTAAAAGTGTGAACTGTTAGATTACTGATATTGTGGATAGTTTTCTGTCTACCATAACTTGTTCCAGATTTTATTAATGGAAGGGAATGTGCATTTATTATGACTCAACCTTACAATGTAAACGTACTATTTCTCATCTTTAAACATGTGGATCAGTTTAATTGAAAAGTATTCTGATACTGCAAAATGGGATGTTAAAAACTGCAGTTACGGAGCTGTGTAACCCATTTTTCACTGCATAAGATACAGATGTAAATTGCATGGAGAGGTTGATGTGCACCTGTTAGAGTAATTCACTTCCCCAATTTCAAATCTTTGTCAGAAAATAGTTCTTGTTCATACTAATTCTGAGTGTTCTAAATTTGAAGTTACATACAGAAATAAAAATGTTTTTCGATTTCTGTTGTCTTCTCCTTTTGCTGGCATGTACAAACATCTTTAGCCTAAGTAAACTCTGTCCATTTTTCTTATGAAGACTGTCATTAACTCAAACCATATGTTTTACTTACCACAGACACTCAGCATGTCTTCACCCACTACCCATCATTCACAGAGCTTTCCCCTCCATTCCCACCAGCATCAGGTGCACACTCACCCACCTCCTACGCTCTACACATTCACTGCCATCTCCCACTCAGTACTCCCACCTTAACATACACCCTCTTCCCACTCCACATGTACACTCTGCCAATCTCCCACCCCAACATATATTCCCATTTTTCCTCACACCCCCACACACTCCCTCCCACCACCCAACACCAACCAGTCACCACATATATTTATACTCTCCCACTCACACATATACACACATCCTACTTTTTTTTTTTTGAGATGGAGTCATGCTGTGTCGCCCAGGCTGGAGTGCAGTGGCACGATCGTGGCTTACTGCAACCTTTGACCCCTGGGCTCAAGTGATTCTTGTGCCTCAGCCTCCTGAGTAGCTGAGATTACAGTCATGTGCCACCACACCCGCCTAATTTTTGTATTTTTAGTAGAGACAAGATTTCATCATGTTGGCCAGGCTGGTCTCGAACTCCTGACCTTGTGGTTCACCCGCCTCGGCCTCCCAAAGTGCTGGGATTACATGCATGAGCCACTATGTCCTGCTCACATACTACATTTTTAAAAATGGGCCAGGTGCAGTGGCTCATTTCTGTAATCCCAGCACTTTGGGATGCTTATGTGGGAGGATCGCTTAAGGACAGGTGTTCAAGACCAGCCTGAGCAAAATAGTGGTGAGACCTTGTCTCTACAAAAATAAGTAAAAAAATTAGCCAGACTATTTAGGAGGCTGAGGCAGGTGAACCTCTCTCTCTCTCTCTCTCTCTCCTCTCTCTCCTCTCTCTCTCTCTCCTCTCTCTCTCTCTCTCTTTCTCTCCTCTCTCCTCTCTCTCTCTCTCTCCTCTCTCTCCTCTCTCCTCTCTCCTCTCTCTCTCTCTCTCTCTCTCTCTCTCTCTCCTCTCCTCTCTCTCTCTCTCTCCTCTCTCCTCTCTCTCCTCTCTCCTCTCTCCTCTCTCTCTCTCCTCTCTCTCTCTCCTCTCTCTCTCTCCTCTCTCTCTCTCTCTCCTCTCTCTCTCTCTCTCCTCTCTCTCTCTCTCTCCTCTCTCTCTCTCTCTCCTCTCTCTCTCTCTCTCTCTCCTCTCTCTCTCCTCACACACACACACGCATGCATGCACAAAATACCAAATCAGACATATAAGGATTCTCTGGGGGTTGGTTTGGTGTGGTTTTTTCTTTTTTTTTTTTTTTTGGCCCAGTATGTTGTGGACATCCTTCTGTGGTTTACACATAGGGATATACCTTCTTGTCATAGATGCAGAGTTGACTGCATTCTTAGAGGGAAGTTTTCATCTGGTATTCTGACTTCTTAATTATATGACAATTGTTTATCTCTACATGCATACATAAATATTCAATGCAATACATCTATATGACATAAATCAATGTCAGGATCCTGAATGTCCATCCTTTGTTCTAGGAAACAACTAAAAATAACAATGGGCTATTTGTTTTCTTTTGTTTTTGAGACGGAGTCTCACCCAGGCTGCAGTGCGGTTTCAGGATCTTGGCTTACTGAAATCTCCACCTCTCCATTCTCCTGCCTCAGCCTCCCAAGTAGCTGGGACTACAGGCACACACCACCACACCCGGCTAATTTTTTGTTTTTTTAGTAGAGACAGGGTTTCACCATGTTAGCCAGGCTGGTCTCAAACTCCTGACCTTGTGATCTGCCTGCCTCAGCCTCCCAAAGTGCTGGGATTACAGGTGTGAGCCACTGCCCCCGCCCCCCAAGCCAAGGCTTTCTTTTTATAAGGAAATTTGTCTTTTTTTTTTTTTCCTTTTTTTAGGGACAGGGTCTTGCAGTGACATGATCACACCTCACTGTAACCTGAAACTTCTGGCCTCAAGCAATCCTGCCTCAGCCTCCCCAGTAGCTAGGGCCACAGGTGGCATTGCCATGCCCAACTAATTTTTTTTTGTTTGTTTGTAGAGATGAGGTCTCACAAGGTTGCCTAGGTTGGTCTCAAACTGCTGTCTTAGCCTCCCAAGCACTGGGATTACAAGCATAAGCCACCACATCTGGCAATTTGTCTGCTTTTTAATGGAGGATAGCAGCCAAGAAATGTATCCCCATAAACAACTGGAATAAGAAGTAGAAACTACACTACAGCCCTATTTTGTAACCATTTTAGCTGATGGCACAGAAAATGTGCTGGCAAAATGTGTAATGTACTGATATTGCTCAGTGATTCCTGTGTCTCAATTCAGGGTCTATCAGCTAACCTTTACCTTGTGTATCTTCTGGAAATCAGGTGAGGACTAGTAAGTTGGTCAAATGCAGTAGTAAGTTGCTGTCTCTGGAAGCACTCTTTCTAGGAGCCTAATAATTTGATATAGTGCCCAAAGAACTGAGGAAGAGTTACAAGCCTGGGAGAAAAAAACCTACTGAAAAAAAAAAATTTAGCTAAAGAACTGAACGCCTCTGGCCGGGTGCAGTGGCTAACACCTGTAATCCTAACACTTTGGTGAGAGGGGAGACCCCCTCACCTCCTTCAATTTCACCTCTTCCCACCCTTTCCAGATGGGAAGGAGGGTGAAGAAGGGGGGAAAAATGAAATAAAATACCAAAGAGCTGGGAAAATGACTCCCTCTTTAGTTCCCAGCATCTCTGCTATCTGTTAACCTTGAAAGAGCTGCAAATGAATGTTATCTCTGCAGGCTGGAGCCCGGCACTGGTTCATGCCCCCACATCTCCATGGACCAGGCTCCCTCCTGGAAACACCTCTGCCAACAAACAGCTTGTTGCTTTTGTCTTGCCTCTGTAAGCCCCCTTCCCTGCTGGTCCCCACTCACGCTGCATATGAATTAGCAAATCAATGAAGCCAAAAGATTGCATGGTCGGATGTCCAGCAAATGGACAATGACATAGTTCTGCCTCAGTTTCCCCTTTAGTGTTGTAAGCCTATAAAAGGGGAGAGAAGCTGCAGCTTGGGGAGCTTGGTGAATGAGACCGTAGCCCACCGAAGCTCCCGGCTGAATAAAAAGCCACTTCCTTCCTCAGTTCAGTTTTCGAGAGGTTTGTTCCCCACCATTCCTGCTACACTGGGAGGCCAAGGTGGGTGGATCACGAGGTCAGGAGTTTGAGACCAGGCTGGCCAGCATGGTGAAACTCCATCTCTACTAAAAATACAAAAATTAGCTGGGCATGGTGGTGCGCACCTGTAGTCCCAGCTACTTGGTAGGCTGAGGCAGGAGAATCACTTGAACCCGGGGGGCGAAGGTTGCAGTGAGCTGAGATTGGACCACTGCACTGCAGTCTGGGGAACAGAGAAAGACTCCATCTCAAAAAACAGAAAAGAAAAAAAAAAAAGAAATGAATGTCTGTCTGTCTCTCTCTCTTTCTCTCTCTCTCGCGCACACACACACACACACACACACACACACACACACCACAAACTCATGGATGGAACATGTTATCCAAAGGCTGAATTTCTTTGGAATGAGTGTCACTAGAAGTTTACATAATTGCTCTATATTAGCTGAAACTCATAATCATATAACCAAAAATATACTTTTTTTTTTTTTACAAAATAACACAATTTATTACTATTTTAAAACAAATCTCACAAAATAACATTCAGAAACTCAACATCTCTAAATAATGTAACACACAAGTTTAGTCATAAAGTCATGCTACAAAACTCTTGTGTATAAAAGATTATTACCAAAGTATTCATAGATGTTAAAATGTTCTTCAGAATGGAGTTGGTTCTAGAAGCCAAAGATTCTGGAATGATGCTTGTAATCATAACTGCCAGCCTGGGAGAAGGAGCTGGCTATGTGCACCTGCTCTTAGCTTCCAACTCACCAGTCTTTTGATGGGAGTGATCCCTCTACGCAGTAGCACCTCAGAGGGAGGTACCCTACTGATCACAGAGGCAAAGAGCCTCCGATCTATATAATGTTAGATAACTCTACGTTAATTTAAAATCTAGAGGTGGGAAAGATAATTTGCAAAACTTCTATTCTGAGTAGGAGAACTACTTGACACATCCCCCAGAGGGATGATCTTGGATGTAACAGACATGGAAGACGACCCAAGTAGGGAAAAAGAGAAATCCCGACTCTGAGTATGTCAAAAGACAGTAACTACTCATGTGGGTTTAGAATGAGCAAGGGTGAGGCTGGATTCTCTAATATCCTAGTGCAGGCTAGATATTTACCCATCTGCCCTATGGAAGTCCTTTCCACCAACATCCAGTTGATAATTTTAAAGTGCAAATCGACTGAAAAATAGTTTACTCTCCCCTTCCCCCCATGTTAAATTTGCTAGATCATAATTTGGTTGGCTGGTTCTCCTCTAAACTGCTCAATATGGGGAATTAAATAGAATCCAGTTAATGATTTCTCCAAGTATCAAGTAAAAAGTTTTACCAATTTATCTTAAGTCAGAGAAAGGTAAGACTCAGTCTAGTTCTTCCTTTCAGTTTTCTTCCTTTACAGATTTATAAAATGCAGGAATAGAGATACAGATATGGTATTTCTAAAAGTTCCATGATTTTAAAACATAATCCTTAATTTTTGGAATTTCACCCATTTTATGGCTTACAAAAAGAAAACAATATGACCCATGCTAGAGCAAAGATAAAGAAATACGGTCAAGTTAGCTTGTCAGAAGAAGCACCAACTCTGCTACACTGAATCTTGTTTTTATATTTCATTATTTACAGACACATTAAACAGCCCCAAACAAAGAAAATCTGTGCCAAAGGAAGGAATTTCTGGTAAACAATAACATGCAGTTTAGCAGTTTTCTTCCTTTACCAGCACTTAGAGTATATAAGGTCTTAGTGAATTGATGGTGTGACCGTGGTTAGAGAGACACAAACTATTCATGATGGACACTTTGACACTTTCTCCTAAGGCTTTTAAGTTAATGATTAACTCCAACCTCTTTGGGCCCTATGCTTTTCCATTTAGCCCTAAGAAAAACCCAGGTAGATGATTCCAATTCTCTTTACACCTCACCAATTCTTAGAATAAATCAACAGTCAAGAATCACGTCTTATTCTTCCTTATTTTGCTTCAGACCACTGGTAAAAGGTGTCAAAAGAAGTGCCTATTCAAGTTCAAATTTCTCTTTCCACACAGGAACCATGTTTTTTTTCTTTTTGAGACAGAGATTCACTCTGTTGCCCAGGCTGGAGTACAGTTGTATGATCTCGGCTCACTGAAGCCTCTGCCTCCTAGGTTCAAGCAAGTCTCCTGCTTACCCTCCTGAGTAGCTGGGATTACAGGCATGCACTACCACACCCGGCTAACTTTTTATATTTTTGGTAGACATGGGGTTTTACCATGTTGGCCAGGCTGGTCTCAAACTCCTGACCTCAAGTGATCTGCCCACCTTGGCCTCCCAAAGTGCTGGGGTTACAGGCGTTAGCCACCATGCCCAACCAGGAACCACATGTAAGTGCCTTATACCACCATATGTGGAATGGATCCAGTAACCACACCAAGTTATACACCAGTTATCTTAAGCAGACATTCTTCTGATCACACCCAGAAATGATGTCTACAATCAGCTAACTTTCCTATAAGATTATCAAATTTTACACAGTATTTTTCTGTATTTAATGACTGCCATGGTCTGCAAAATTCTGTATATTATTAGACAATGAATGATACTTAAAGAATGATGACCTATTTTCTAAAGCATACTCAAAATATTAAACTTTAGAGACAAAGTAAAATATCATAAAGCTGGCTTCTGTTGATAGAAACAGAGAGGTAGGTTAATAATCACTGTCCTAAGGAGAGCAAGAATGCTTAGAAACAAAAGTTGGAGACACTGCTTCAAAAAAGATAAGTTGAATCTTCCAGCCCTGAGTTTCTAATATTACATGAAAATTGTGAAAATGAGCATTACAGCCGAGTGCAGTGGCTCACCCCTGTAATCCCAGCACTTTGGGAGGCTGAGGCAGGTGGATCACAAGGTCAGGAGTTTGAGACCAGCCTGGCCAATATGGTGAAACCCCATCTCTACTGAAAATGCAAAAATTAGCCGGGCATGGTGGCATGTGCTTGTAGTCCCAGCTACTCAGGAGGCTGAGGCAGAAGAATTGCTTGAACCCAAGAGGCAGAGGTTGCAGTGAGCAGAGGTCACGCCACTGCATTCCAGCCTGGGCAACAGAGTGAGACTCCATTTCAAAAAAGAAAAAAAAAAGAGCATTACAAAAAAAAAAATATCAGTAGCCATTTCTTTCCATCCATGATTATTAAATACATCACCTTTTCTCATTTAACAATTTAAGTGGCACGTGGCTACAGAGTGAAAATAAATGGACTCTGGACACAACTGATGTTGGCACAAAAAACACAACTAAGGGAGAATTTGTTCCCAGCCCCCTGCCCAAGGGACAGATGGCAATGTCTGGAGATATCTTTGTTGTCTTGGCTGAGGAGGGGTCTACTAGAATCTAGTGGGCAGAGGCTAGGGATGCAGTTGACCATCCTAAGTACACAGGACAGCTCCCAACAGCAATGAACTATCAGTCCCAAAATGTTAACAGTTGCAAGGTTGATCCTCTGGTTTAAAGGAACAAATTCTTAACAGAGAACACAAAAACCTTCTAAAGCCTGTCTAGGCAATACAGCTCTAAGCTCAGAGTTAGGGAACAGAAAAGTTAAACTTCTTGGTAGACTAAAATCAAATTTGCTGTGAAAAGTTAAAGTACTGGACTGATTCCAGAATTTTACCATCACTTACAAGAACAGAAGAAATTTGGCTGGGTGCAGTGGCTCATGCCTGTAATCCCAGCACTTTGGGTTACCTGAGGTTGGGAGTTCAAGACCAGCCTGGCCAACATGGTAAAACCCCATCTCTACTAAAAATGCAAAAATTAGCCAGGCATGGTGGCATGTACCTGTGGTCCCAGCTATTTGGAAGGCTGAGGCAGGAGAATCGCTTGGACCCAGGAGGCAGAGGTTGCAGAGTGCCAAGGTAGCACCACTGCCCTCCTGCCTGGGAGACAAAGTGAGACTCTGTCTCAAAAAACAAACAAACAAAAACCAAGAATAGAAAAAATTTAAATGATCCACTAAAATGGCTTAATGGTTACATCGCAGGCACACAGAGAGAATCTATTCCAAGTAGGTCAAACATCTGATCCAAGAGGCATAAACCAAAGGCATTTATATCAGCTAAATTTGCACCAGTAAAGGATAATTTAGGGAATGATTTGAGAGAATATCCTACATTTCTTCATACAACCCAATTTCCATTTTTTAATGGTGTGGGTTCCATGAACAGGGATGCATAGAAGTCATTCAAATATTTGTCGAATGATACAGGGAATATGAATTTACATGAAATGGACAGAGAAAAGAATCTTACATTTCTGAGAACTACTTGTAATTAAAAACAGAAACAAGGAGAAAGAGAATCAGTTTCTATATTACAGAATTCAGAAAAAAAGCACCAAAGCTCTAAGCCATTTTACAAATAAATTCAATATGAAATCATTTACTTCCTATTATATTCACTTCCAGGGTTACTTTTAGAAAACATACTCATAACAACATGCCTTCAAGCTTGCCTACTGGATGAAGTGCAAACTTTAAAAAGATCATCTTCCCTCTCAGTTTATGGACCTTTGACATCACCAAGGAGAATGAAGGCTCATTGCCTTCATTCATAAAAGAAATGTCCAAAGGCTTTGAGTGCATAAACCAGCTAGAGTAGGGTAAGGTTTCTTTCTAACAGATTGTAAAGAAGAGAAAAAAGAAAGCTGAAAGGGTGTTAGACCAAGTTTTCCCCTTGTTTGTATTTAGAGTTGATTGTCAAAGCAGTGGTCCCTTTTGATCAGAGTGACTTAGAAAAATCAAGTAATTCCTACATAAATGGTAGTTGAAATCTTCTGAAACCCAGGACTACTTATGCAATCACTTTTAAAAACGATTCTCCCCTTTTTCACTGTGATTTTATGCAAGTAAAATCACACAAGTAGATGCGGAACAAGAATCAACCATCTCTGAGGGACTTTAGGCACAATTTGGCAGAGGGTCCTGACTTCTTTTCTGCAATCTATTAGTGATTCAGCCATGGCCTCCTATGGACTTCATCTGCTCACTGACTACAATGTCTTACATTTTCCTAAAAAAATTTTTTACATGATAAATTCTAATCTCTCCATCTAACTATTGCTTTGCAATTTTGAGGTTAAACCACCTACATTGCTTTATGTAGGAGACAATCCTCAAACCTATTGCCATTTGCCTAGGATCTCGTAATGAAACATCTCTCTTCCCTCCACGACCATGTATATAATACATTTTAGGAGCTGTTTAACTTAGAACGTATCAAAAAATATATTTTGAAATACTAAGTTTCATCATACCCTTACTTATAACCATGACAATCACTTCTCCCAATAATGAGGGTCACCAGACCAAATCACTAGGGTAGCATTTAGCCTAGGAATTCAAATATAACTAATGATTTAAACATATAAGGAATTACAAAACCAAAATGTGTGATTAAGGCCAGCCCCACGAGTAACATGGCCATATTACTGGTCAAAGAAATGATCATGACAGTCATTTGAACCACTGACTTAGATCACAAAATGACTGACTGCACACAGTGACTCAGGTGGCCATGCATATAAAAACAACTTAAATTCCAGTTGACAATCTGCACATTTTTGGAAAAACAAGTATAATATAGACTAGAAGGTCTGTAAGATATTAATTTTTTCCTTTTTTCACCATATCTTTTCTGATTGAACTTTGGAGCCTTGGCTCTATGGCTGCTATATTTCTTTTCCTTTCTTTTTTTTTTTTTTTTGGTATTTATTTATTTCTAAGAGGAACTCTTCCATCACCATACTGCCTTCAGAGCTAAAGTCATGATATATTTGTGCTTCTGAACTGTAAGGAGACAGACCTTCAGGAAAGATGTTCTAAATTTTCAAATGCTTATCTTTTAAAATGTCTAACTTAAAAAAATGAACAAACTGAAAAAAGAACATTTGTTCATTTGGTATTAAAAATGACTGGTCTACAGGAAAAAAAGATAAAGAAAGACAAAAAAATGACTGGTCTACAAAGGTTTTAGTAGATGGGGCTCTACAGTATATAACTGAGACTGAAGACAAAAAATGAAAATTTGTGGTTTCTGAAAAGAGGATCAGGATATATTAGGTTGGCATTACCAGTTTTGGGAAGAAACACTGAGTAAGTTAAGGGGGAAAAAGATGAGAATGAGTGATCTGTTTTATCTTAAGAAACTTTTGTCCCATACAGAATCTTTAAAATAGACAATTATATAAAATGTATCTATTGTTCTTATGACATTTAAATAAGTTAACACAAAGTGGAAAAGGTGGCATTAGTTATCTTCTTCTTCATCCTCCTTAATTACTGGAGTACCTAAAATGAAAAAGAAAATTAGTACTGGTCATTCTCAACAAATTGCTAAAATTCTAGATGAACTATTTTCCTGGCCAGGCACAGTTGCTCACACCTGTAATCCCAGCACTTTGGGAGGCTGAGGCAGGTGGATCACCTGAGATCAGGAGTTTGAGACCAGCCTGGCCAACATGGTGAAACCTATCTCTACTGAAAATACAAAACTTAGCTGGGACATGGTGGCAGGCAGTGGTAATCCCAGCTACATGAGAGGCTGCGGCAGGAGAATTGCTTGAACCTAGAAGGCAGAGGTTGCAGTGAGCTGAGATTGCACCATTGTACTCCAGCCTGAGCAACAAGAGCAAAACTCTGTCTCAAAAAAAAAAAAGAAGAAAATATTTTCCTGTCAACCTGAGAAGCTCTGAGATACTATGAAGTGTGCCATAATAAAAATAATTTCACAAAATAATCTCTTTAATTTCAAATTCTCTAAAAAGCTTCTCAGGAGAATTCTCAAATGGTTTAGTATATATACTTATGAATATTAAGCCCTTAACTGCCAAATTGCAAATCAAAATGCCTATGGCCAGGGATGGTGGCTCACTGCCTGTAATTTATAGCATTTTGGGAAGCCAAAGTGAGAGAAGCACTTAAGCCCAGGAGTTGGAGACAAGCCTGGGCAACACAGGAAGACCCCATCTCTACAAAAATTAAAAAAAAAAAAAAAAAAAAAATAGCCAGGCATGGTGGTGTGAACCTGTAGTCTCCAGCTACTTTGGAGGCTGAGGTGAGAGAATCCCTTGAGCCTGGGAGGTCAAGGCTGTGGTGAGCTGTGATTATGCCACTGCATTCCAGCCTGGGTGGCAAAGTGAGACCCAGTCTCAAAATAAAATAAAATAAACCAACAAGTACCAAGCACAAAAATAAAATGAGTTCTGTACACATTGAAAACTTTCTGCCAGGCACGGTGGCTCACGCCTGTAATCCCAGCACTTTGGGAGGCTGAGGCGGATGGATCACCTGAGGTCAGGATTTCAAGACCACCCTGGCCAACACAGTGAAACCCTGTCTCTACTAGAAATACAAAAAATTAGCTAGGCGTGGTGGCAGGTGCCTATAATTCCAGCTACTAGGAAGGTTGAAGCAGGAGAACACTTGAACCCAGGAGGCGGAGGTTGCAGTGAGCCAAGATCATGCCACTGCCCTTCAGCCTGGGCAACAAGAGCGAGATGCTGTCTCAAAAAAAAAAAAAGCTTTCTATGTTAAGCATGAAGAAATATTCTTTATTTCCCACAATAAAATGTATAATCATAGAATTGCCAAAAATCTGAACTCCTCTAATTGTTTTATGACCTCCCCCAGTTGCTGAACATTGGGGAGATATTGAAAAAAAGAATCACTAAAAGCATTGGCAACAAAAGCCAAAATAGACAAATGGGACCTAATGAAACTCCACAGCTTCTGCACGGCAAAAGAAACAGTCACTAGAGTGAATCGGCAACCAACAGAATGGGAAAAAATGTTTGCAGTTTACCCATCTGACAAAGGGCTGATATCCAGAATTTACAAAGAACTCAAACAGATTTACAGGAAAAAAACAAGCCCATTCAAAAGTGGGCAAAGGATATGAACAGACACTTTACGAAAGAAGACATATATGAGGCCAACAATCATATGAAAAAATGCTCATCGTCACTGGTCATCAGAGAGATGCAAATCAAAAACCACATTGAGATACCATCTCACGCCAGTTAGAATGGCGATCATTAAAAAATCTGGAGACAACAGATGCTGGAGAGGATGTGGAGAAAAAGGAACACTTTTACACTGTTGGTGGGAGTGTAAATTAGTTCAACCATTGTGGAAGACAGTGTGGCGATTCCTCAAGGCCTTAGAAATAGAAATTCCATTTGACCCAGCAATCCCATTACTGGGTATATACCCAAAGGACTATAAATCGTTCTACTATAAGGACACATGCACACGAATGTTCATTGCAGCACTGTTTACAATAGCAAAGACCTGGAATCAACCCAAATGCCCATTGATGATAGACTGGATTGGGAAAATATACACATATACACCATGGAATATTATGCAGCAATCAGAAATGATGAGTTCGCCTCGTTTGTAGGGACATGGATGAATCTGGAGAACATCATTCTCAGCAAACTGACACAAGAACAGAAAATGAAACACCGCATATTCTCACTCATAGGCGGGTGATGAAAAATGAGAACACATGGACACAGAGAGGGGAGTACTAAACACTGGGGTCTATTGGGGGGAAAAGGGGAGGGCCAGTGGGAGGGGGAGGTGGGGAGGGATAGCCTGGGGAGAAATGCCAAATGTGGGTGAAGGGGAGAAAGCAAACAAAACACACTGCCATGTGTGTACCTATGCAACTGTATTGCATGCTCTGCACATGTACCCCAAAACCTAAAATGCAATAAAAAAAAATAAATTAAAAAAAAAAAAAAAGAATCACTATAGAGAAAACAAAACATATCTCTGGTTCTCACTGGGCAAAGGGCCACCCATTTCTGAGCTTTAGCATTTAAAGCCAGTCTGACCCCAGCTGACTATTCAGTCTTAACTATTCAGGCATTTACCCTACACTCCAGCTAACCTGATCAATTCACTGTCTCCCAAACTCATCTTGCACACTTTTTTTTTTGAGACGGAGTTTTGCTCTTGTTACCCAGGCTGGAGTGCAATGGCGCGATCTCGGCTCACCAAAACCTCTGCCTCCTGGTTTCAGGCAATTCTCTTGCCTCAGCCTCCTGAGTAACTGGGATTACAGGCACGCACCACCATGCCCATCTTATTTTTTGCATTTTTAGTAGAGACGGGGTTTCGCCATGTTGACCAGGATGGTCTCGATTTCGACCTCGTGATCCACCCGCCTCGGCCTCTCAAAGTGCTGGGAGAGGCCGAGCGAAACTCTGTCTCAAAAAAAAAAAAAAAAAACTAACTCCAGTGCCTCATTTCCTCACTGATGCCTTCCAAGACGTCCACATTCTTTATGGCAGTAAACATAATTTGACCTCTCTGTATACCCCACAGCATCTGTTTGTGGGACAAGTGAACTTTTTGTTGACATGCAACATACAAAGCGTACAATTATAATGTACAGATTGATAAATGTTCATAAGGTGAACAAAAGCTAGTTACCAGCACTCAGATTTAGAAAGAAAAGATTATCAGAACCTTAAAACTGTCTCGTATTTTGTTTGTTTTTTTAAGACAAGGTCTTGCTCTGTCACCCTGGATGGAACGCAGTGGTGTGATCACAGCTTACTACAGTCTCAAACTCCCATACTCAAGCAATCTTCTCACCTCAGCCTCCCAAATAGGATCACAAGAATGATATAGTATGTACTCTGTATCTGGCTTCTGTTTTGTTTTGTTTTGTTAAGATGTAATCTCGCTTTGTTGCCCAAGCTGGAGTGCAGTGGTGTGATCTCAATTCACTGCAACCTCTGCCTCCTGGGTCCAAGTGATTCTCCTACCTCGGCCTCCTGAGTAGCTGGGATTACAGGCGTGTACCACCATGCCTGGCTAATTTTTTTGTATTTTTAGTAGAGATGGGGTTTCACCATGTTGGTCAGGCTGGTCTCAAACTCCTGACCTCGTGATCCGCCTGCCTCGGCCTCCCAAAGTGCTGGATTACAGGCATGAGCCACTGTGCCCCACCTGGCTTCTTTTATTCAACATTACGTTTGTATGATTCATCCATGTTGTGTAAAATTGTAGTTCATTAATTTTTATTGCTGTTTAATATTCCATTGTATGACTAGGCCGTAATTTATCTGTCTATTCTATTATTCAAAACATTTAAGTTGTTTCTAATTTTTAGCTATTAATATACTGTTACTATGAACACTCTCATAGATGTCTTTTGGTAAACATACTCATCCTTTTCTTTGGGGTATGTAGTTAGGAATTGTAAAAAAGCAACTGCTTACCATGTATTTCTGATTATTCTGAAGAATCAGAATAATTTTTGATTCCGATCAAAATTTGTGACCTTTTGTCACCTTTCTGACTTGAGAACAAGTCTAGCTTTCTTTCATTTTTTAACTTGCTTCAATGAGCTAGAAGTTTATTTTCCTTTTACATAAAAGTACATGTAGATAGTAGATAGACATGGATCTTTGTGTTGTCTGGAAGTCAGGATCCTTCTCTCTTACTGATTGCATGGGTGACCTCTTTGTGATTGAGGGAAGAGTGAGAAAAGGAGGAGGCTCAGCACCAAACCCTGAATAATTCCAGCTTTAATCCAATGTAACAGCAGAAAATTTTTATCAGGAAAAAAATAAATACACACTTTTTTTTTAATTAACACAGGGTTTTTCTCGGTACATTGCCAAGGCTGATCTCAAATTCTTGGCCTCAAGCAATCTTCATGCCTCGTTGAGTAGCTTGGGACTACAGAAATGTGCCACTGTGACTAGCCCCACATAGATTTATAAGGCCTACTTTTCTTATAAGCTTTTGCTCTAGGAAGAATCTTGTGCCCGTCTAAATATCCCAGCAGTTTTTCATCTCACTTTGGCCCAAACCTAGACCATTCAATTTTATATAGATAGAAATAACCTGGAAGATCAGAGGCATTTTTTTCTTTAGTTTTTCTCCTCTTCATGATTCCATGCCACAAATTCCTTTTTTTTTTGAGACAGAGTCTTACTCTGTTGCCCAGGATGGCATGCAATGGTATAATCTCGGCTCACTGCAACCTCTGCCTCCCAGGTTCAAGCAATTATCCTGTCTTAGCCTGCAGAGTAGCTGGGATTACAGGGATGCAGCACCACACCCAGCTAATTTTTTGTATTTTTCATAGAGACAGGGTTTCACCATGTTGGTCAGGCTGGTCTCGAACTCCTGACCTTGTGATCTGCCCATCTCAGCCTCCTAAAGTGCTGGGATTACAGGTGTGAGCCACCATACCCAGCCTACACAAATTCCATTTTTATGCCTAGAAAACATGTCCAAACCAGCTGAGAATCACTCACCATCCAGCTTTTTCAGTTTGGGTACTCTCTTGGTTGCTTCTTCAATCCAGTTGTTCTCAGCAGAATGTTTCTCTTCCAAGGGATTGCCTACAAACACCAGGTCTTCCAGGCATGGCAGTTCTGCCAGCTTCACAAACTCAGCTACAAGTGCAAATAATATTTTCCATATTAAAACAGCAAGTTTTACTGTTACAATTTTGGGGATTAAATTCCAGTATCATTAACCTTCAGTTTGTGACTATTCATAACAATTAGTTGTTTAAGATTTTGAAAGAAGCTAGGGAAGTTATACCATATAAAGTCATTCTCAGAAGACATTACAGGATGGGAGGGAAAAAGACGACATACCTCTCTACTTTAAATGCTAGCCTAACGATGAAAGAAGATGTGATAAGGTTAAGAGTCAAAAAGAACAAATTGTTCTCCAGTGACAGGTCTTTATGCTGTGCTGCTGCGTCAGTGTGGGTTAAGCTAACCTGCCTTTGTCTGTACCCATTCCCTCATCCTTGAATTCTTAAAACATATCATTCAAATCTCTATTGCAGAACTTATCACACCGTTTTGTTTTTTTGTTTTTGTTTTGAGACACGGTCTCACCCTGTCACCCAGGCTGGAGTGCAATGGCACGATCTCTATTCACTGCAACCTCTATCTCCTAGGTTAAAGCAACTCTCATGCCTCAACCTCCCAAGTAGCTGGGACTACAGCTGTGCACCACCATGCCTGGCTAATTGTATTTTTAGTAGAGACAGGGTTTTGCTATATTGGCTAGGCTAGTCTCGAACTCCTGATCTCAGGTGATCTGCCTGCCTCCACCTCCCTAAATGCTGGAATTATGGGCATGAGCCATTGCCTCTGGCCTCTTATCACACAGTTTTATAATTATTAGCTCACAAACTAATTTTCCCCACTAAGCTGTGATCTCCTTGAGGGCAGGGATAATGTCCTATTCAACTATGTATCCAAAGAGACTGGTATAGTTCATTGCACATAAGTGAATGAATTATGTACATTTTCTGTGCTTAGAAATCAGTGTTCTCATTTTGCATCTTTTTCCTTGCAGACTACTTTCTATAAACAGGAGGTAAAGGTTAGCTAAGGGCCACTCTCAGCTTACCCCAGTCTTTTACCAGGTTATTGGACATGTAGAGAATCTTCAATTTCTTCATTACATGGATCCCTTTCAACTTCTCAATAAAATTGTAGGAGATCCACAGTTCTTCTAATGTGTCCCCTACTGCCTCCTGAAAATGAACAAAATTTGATTTACATGCTTATGTTTAACCTTTTCTTTCTGTCTTCTTCTTTATAAAGATACAGATAATAGCTTTAAAGCAAACTAAGACTCTGCCTGTCTACTTGTAGAAGAGCTAATAGTTGTGTGGAAGGTTATTTTTTCTCATTAAGTGAGCCAAGTAGAACATTCTCTTCCCTTCATCACTAATCTGAACTCTTCCTTCTCTGATTGTGCCACTAAAAAAAAAAGAAATCCAAAACATAATCCTTTACTAAGAATTGCCACTGAAATCACCAAGAAGGGAAATAATAGCACTATCTTAATGGTATGGTTTTCAAATTACATTCCTATAAAGTATATTCATCCTTACAATATCTGCTTTAAAGCAGATAAGGCAGGTTATTTGATTTCTATTATAGAGGGATTAAGAGCTTTTTCTAAGAACACACTGCTATTAAATAATAGTGCTAGGTCTAAAATTCAGGGTCTTCTCCAACATTTATTATGATAATTTTCAAACATAAAAAAGTTGCTTTTGTTTTGTTTTAGTTTTGTTTGAGAGAGAGCCTTGTTCCATCACCCAGACTGGGGTGCAGTGGCACACTCAACAGCTAACTGCAGCCTCAACCTTCCCCGGGCTCAAGCAATCCTCTCACTTTAGCCTCCCTAGTAGCTGGGACTACAGGTGTACACTACCACATCTGGCTAATTTTTGTCTTTTTGGTAGAGATGGCATTTTGTAGAGATGTTGCCCAGGCTGGTCTTGAACTCCTGGACTCAAGGGATCTGCCTGCCTCGGCCTCTCAACGTGCTGGGATTATAGGCATGAGCCACTGTGCCCATTCAACAATACAATTTCCTATATGTATTTGTAAGTAGATAATAAAGACAAGATTTTAGTGAAGCAGTCTAGTGAATATCAATGAGGAAAACCTGGCAAAGTTTGATGAATCAATTCAGTGAAATATATCATTCAATAAACTGACTCTTTCGAGAATTAGACAATAACTGAACAGTCATTTAGCAAACTGGTCAGCTTCTGCATGTAAACAAATCATGTATCACCCCAAGTTTCTTATTCTGTAAAATGAAGAGATTGGCACCATGAGATACCATCTCATACCCATTAGGATGGCTACTATCAAAATCACAGAAAATAATAAGTATTAGTGACGTTGTGGAGAAATTGGAACCTTGTACACAGTTGGCAGGGAGATAAAATGGTACAGCTGCTATGGAAAAGTTTGGCAGTTCCTTAAAAACTTAAAACAGAATTATCATATGGTAATTGATATCACTCAACAGGGGATCCAGCCATTCCACTTCTGGGCATATATTCAGAAGAAATGAAAGTGGAGTCTCGAGATATTGGTACACCCACGTTCACAGTAGCAAATTCACAATAGCACAGTAGGTTAACTATAATTAACAATAATGCATACAGTCATGCACTGCATACCATTTCAGTCAATGATTAACTCCACATACAATGGTGGTCCCATAAGATTATAATAGGGCTGAAAATTTTCTATTGCCTAGTGATATCCCAGCAGTTATAATGTCATAGCACAAGGCATTATTTATGTTTGTGGTGATACTAGTGTAAAAATGTATGCATAACATAAACATTTATGTATAATACCTAATAATAATAAATGACAATATTACTGGTTTATAAATTTACTATACTTTTTATGGTTAGAGTATACCCCTTCTACTTATTAAAAAAAAATGCTAACTGTAAAACAGCCTCAGGCAGGCCTTTCAGGAGGTATTCTAGAAAGAAAGCACTGATGTCATAGGAAATGATGGCTCCATGTGTGTTATTACCCCTGAAGACCTTCCAGTGGGACAAGATGTGGAGTGGAAGACGTGATGTTGACTCTGGGTAGGCTTAGGCTACTGTATGCATTTGTGTCTTCATTTTTAACAAAAATGTGTAAAAAGTGAAAAAGATTTAAAAATTTTAAAATAGGAAAAAGCTTATAGAAAGTTTATATAATAAGGATACAAAGAAAGAAAATATTTTCGTACAGCTATACAATGTGTTTGTGTTTCCAGCTGAGTGTTATTACAAAAAGTCAAAAAGTTAAAAAAAAATTGAAAAGTTTATAAAGTTAAAAAAGTCGACCAGTTGCAGTGGCTCACGCCTGTAATCTCAACACTTTGGGAGGCCAAGGCAGGCAGATCACTTGAGGCCAGGAGTTTGAGACCAGCCTAGCCAACACAGAGAAACCCTATCTGTACTAAAAATACAAAAAAAAAAAACCAAAAAACAAAAAAAAAACAAATTAGCCAGGCATGGTGGTGAGCACCTGTGATCCCAGCTACTTGGAAGGCTGAGGCAGGAGAATACCTTGAACCCAGGAGGCAGAGGTTGCAGTGAGCTGAGACACTGCACTCCAGCCTGGGTGACAGAGTGAGACTGTCTTAAAAAAAAAAAAGTTACAGTAAGCTAAGGTTAATTTATTATTGAAGTAAGAAAAACATATTATTTTAATTTATTTATTCATTTATTTATAGATAGAGTCTTGCTCTGGTGTCCAGACTGGAGTGCAGTGGTGTGATCACAGCTCACTGCAAACTCGAACTTCTGGGCTCAAGCAATCCTCAGTTTCCTGATACCCAGGGACTAGTGTGTATCACCACACCCAACTAATATATATATTTTTTGTAGCGATGGGGTCTCACTATGTTGCCCATGCTTGACTCCAACTACTGACCTCAAGTGATCCCACCGCCTCGGCCTCCTCAAGTGCTGGCATTACAGATAAAAGCCACTGTGCCCAGCCAAAAACTTGCTTATAAATTAAGTGTAGCCTGTGTACAGTGTTTTATAAAATTACAGTTGTGTACGGTAATGCCCTAGGCCTTCACATTCACTCACCACTCATTCACTGACTCATCCAGAACAACTTGCAGCCCTGCAAGTTCCATGTATGATAACTGCTCTACACACCTGTACCATTTCTTATATTTCACACTTTATTTTTACTGTACTTTTTCTATGTTTAGCTATACAAATACGTACCATTGTGTTCCAATTGCCTGCAGCACTCAGTACAGTAATATACTGAACAGGTTTGTGGCCTAGGAGCAATAGGCTATACCATATAGCCTAGGGGTATAGTAGGCTATACCATCTAGGTTTGTCTAAGCATACTCTATGATGTTCACACAACAACAAAATTGCCTAATAATGCATTTCTCAGAATATATCCTGGTCATTATGTGATGCATGACTGTATTTCAAAATAGCTGGAAGAGAAGATTTTGAATGTTCTCACTACAAAGAAATAATAAATTGTTCGAGTGATTGATGTGATAATTACCTGGGTTTATCATTACAGAATGTATATATATGTACCAAAACATCACACTATCCCCTATGAATAGGTACAATATGGAACCTACAATCAGCTCGCCAAGGTCTTACTAACTTACAACGTGTTAATTTAAGAATTACTCAGAAATAAATCTATATAAGGCCTTAAGGAATTAAAACTGTTGAATTCTACTGAAGGACATAAAAAATATGAATACATCTTCTTGTAAGATTCATTATTATAAAGATATAACTTCTTTCCAAATCAACTCACAAATTTAATATTTAGGAGTTTTTCATACATGGAAAAGATGGGAGAGCAACACAACTCGTACAAAGTTTGCAACAAACTAAGTGTCTATCAGCAGTGGAGTAGCTAAATATATTAATACTATGCATTGAGGAAAACAACAAGATAGAACTTACTTGTGTGTGCTGAAATGGAATAATTTACCAGATGTATTAAGATAACTTGATAAAATGATTCTCAAGTTTCTCTGAAGAGTATGCTCATAAATATTTTGAAAAAAGAGAGAGGACTTGTTTTAATAGATATAAAAACGCATTCTAAAGTTAAAGAAAATTAAAGCAGCATGATATTGAAGCTGAAATTTATAGAAAGAACAGCAAACAGAAAGAAAGTGACCATCATCCAGGAACCTACCCATGCATATCCAGGAGTTTAGCAGGTGGCATTTCCAAACAGCAGGAAAAGGAGACTTTTCAATTAATGGCTAACCAATTAAGAAGAAAAAAAGACATGATACCTGCCTCGTGACACATGTAAAAATAAACTCCACATGGTTTAAAAGTATAGACTTAAAAAGTTTAATTAAAAAAGAAAAGATAACACTATTTTTACAATCTAGTAGTTAGGACCGTCTATACGGTAAAATACAAAACACTGAAACCACAAAGATTTGACTAACAAAAATTTTTAAACCATGAATAAGGTAAAAAGACATGGGACAAATGAAGAAAATATATCAGTAATTTTGAAAACTGCATTAAATTTCAATATGGAACCTGCAATCAGATTGCCAAGGTCTGACTAATGTGACTTAAGTCCTGTGCTTCTTCCTCTTCTCTGCCCCTCCCACTTTCCTTCTGCTCTCTCCTCTCCTACATTAGCTTTTTTGTTTGTTTCTCCAATTATCTGTCAGTGAACACTTAGGCTCTTTCCACCTTTTGGCTATTATAAATAATGCTGCTACAAACATGAGTGTATTTCTTTTGTTTGTACTTTTTAGGGAAAAAAATCAGTATTTTAACAGAAATAGTATTAATAATAGACACAAGATTTTTAGAAATCAATCAGTACAAACAAGTATAAAAAGAAAAGTCTGGCCAATATTCAACATCCTTAAAGAACAGAACCTTCAGCCCAGAATTTCATATCCAGCCAAACTAAACTTCACAACTGAAGGAAAAATAAAATCTTTTATGAACAAGCAAGAACTCAGAGATTTTATTACCACCAGGCCTGCTTTACAAGAGCTTCTGAAAGAAGCATTACACACAGAAAGAAACAACCAGTATTAGCCTTTCTAAAAATACACCAAAAAGTAAAGAGCACCAACATAAAGAAGAATTTACACCAACAAACGGATAAAACAGCCAGTCTACATCAAATGGCAGTAACCCTAAATTTAAATTGACTGAATTCCCAATCAAAAGACACAGCCAAAACCCAACGGCATGTTACATCCAGACCTGTTTCACATGCAAGGATACACAAAGACTCAAAACAAAGGGATGGAGAAAGATTTGCCAACCAAATGGAGAGCAAAATTAAATAATAAATAAATAAAAAGCAGGAGTTGCATTTCTTGTATCGGATAAAATAGATTTTAAAGCAACAAAGATATAGTGGTAAAAGGATCAATGCAACAACAAGAGCTAACGATCCTAACACCCAGATAGGAGACTTAGATTCAATGAGACAAAAAATTAATAAGGATATCAAGGACTCGAACTCAGATCCAGAACAAGTAAACTTAATAAATATTTATAGAGCTCTCCACTTCAAATACACAAAATATACATTCTTGTCAATACCACATCACACCTACCCATTAGTTTAAATGAAACATTGATTGGCCATTATTAATACCCAATTTTTTTCAGAATAAAGCAATATTTCCATTTACTCTCCCTCTTTCTCTTCCTCTTTCTTCCTCTCCTTTACTTATTTTATTTTTTTTTTCTTTCCTTCTCTCAAAAAAAAAGAAATCAACTTGTGAACCTCTAGATCCAGGTCGGCAATGTCTCTTTGATTGCTTGATTTCCTTTCTTCCCTTCCCTCCCTCCCTCGCTCCCTCCCTCCCCGCTTCCTCCCTTCCTTCCTTCCTTCATCCCTTCCTTCCTCCCTACCGTCCTTATTCCCTTCCTTCCTGCCTTCCTCCCCCCCGCAAAAAAAAAAAGAAAGAAAAGTCTTTCTCACTTTGTACTCCTAGCTCCCTTTCCCAGAAGTAACAGCCATCACCAAAAATATTCTATGCATATATGTACAGATAAATATTCACTTTGCTTTTTCTATAGCTAATACATCTTGCAAATTATTCCATCTCAACACACAGACAGAAGTTCCACTTCATTGTTTTTCCTCAATGCAAAGTATTTATTAATGTATTTAGCTAGCCCACTGCTGACAGAAAATTAAGATTGTTGCAGTCTTTTGTACAAGCTGGGTTACAGTGAAATACTTGCTCCACCATTTTTGTCCATGTATGAAAAACTCCTAAATATAGAATAGTTGGGACAAGGTAAATGTATATTGAATATTGTGATAGTTATTGAAAAACTGCCTGTCTCAGCAACAGAGTTTAAGAATGCCTGTTCATAACTGTTACGTCAGGCACACTGCCTATGGGGTAGCACTGCCAAAAAAAAAAAAAAAGGAATACCTGCTCACTATACTTGAATACTTTACATAACTGAGCCTCGTTTCTTTACCTTAAAATAGGATAACATTATCTACTTGTGAGCTGGAAGTGAGATAATGCATGTAAAGAGCCTGCTGTGTAGTCAACAATAATATAATAACATTTTCAATAATGGATATTAGGAATATTGAAGAGTACCTACCATTCAGTAAGAAAAAAGATAAATCTAGTAGAAAAATAGCTTAAAAATGTGTTTGGTCAATTTCCAAAAGATGAAGCCTCAATGATTAGAATATAAAAAGACGTTCAGCCAGGCGCAATGGCTCATGCCTTTAGTCCTAAGCACTTTGGGAGGCCAACATGAACAGACTGCTTGAGCTCAGGAGTTCAAGACCAGCCTGGGCAACATGGTAAAACCATGTCTCTACCAAAAAAAAAAAAAAAGCTAGGTATGGTGGTACATGCCTCTAGTCTCAGGTACTTGGGAGGCTGAGGCAGGAAGATCACTTAAGCCCAGGAGATCAAGGAGGTTGCAGTGAGCTGAGATGCTACTGCAATCCAGCCTGGGTGACAAAGTGAGACTGCTGTCTCACAAAAAAATACGTATAAATATATATATTAATTATATTACATTATAAAATTTAATATAAAATTATAGGCCAGGCACGGTGGCTCAAGCCTGTAATCCCAGCACTTTGGGAGGCCGAGGCGGGTGGATCACGAGGTCAGGAGATCGAGACCATCCTGGTCAACATGGTGAAACCCCGTCTCTACTAAAAAATACACAAAAAATTAGCTGGGCATGGTGGCGCGTGCCTGTAATCCCAGCTACTCAGGAGGCTGAGGCAGGAGAATTGCCTGAACCCAGGAGGCAGAGGTTGTGGTGAGCCGAGATCGCGCCATTGCACTCCAGCCTGGGTAACAAGCGCGAAACTCCATCTCAAAAAAAAAAATTTTTTTTAATTATATTAAATATTACATAAAAATATAAAGAAAAGACGTTCAAAGTCACAACTGACTAGACAATGGAAATTAAAGTAACACAGTACCTGCCACGAATAGTGACCCATAGTCCCAGCTACTCAGGAGACTTGAGGCAGGAGGGTCACTTAAGCCCAGGAGTTTGAGTCCTGCCTGGGCAACATAGAAAGAATTGTCTCAAAAAAAAAAAAAAAAAAAAAGTCAACAATAGCACCAGACTCCATTTTGCCTATGGTATTGGAAAATGTTAAAAATATGAATACTACTCAATGATGTTGAGGGTGGAGGGGATAATCCTCATCCATGCACCAGTGATGGAAATAGAAACTAGCATTAGCATTGTGGGAACAATTTGAGGTATCTATCAAAAATTTAAATGCATAAAAATATCCTCAACTTTTTGACTTTTAAAAATCTATCCCATCATATGTAAACACAAAAATAACTTCTGAGGGACAAAGATGTTCACTGCAGCATGATTTGTAATAGCAAGAAAAGAAAAAGGAAGAAATTGAGAGAGCAAAAGAGAAAGAGCACTCACTCTCCTCACCCAGGAAAAAAACCCGGAAATAATCTAAATGTCAGAAGTATAGGAATAGTTAAATACATTATTGTATACTGATACTGTGGAAAACTATACAGCTATTTTTGAAGTATTAAATCTGCATGTATTGACATTGAAGGATATTATTGATATATATTATTGAATGAAAAAGCTAAATTATAGGGAAAAATGCCTTGTACACTATCAAACAATATGGCACACACACACACACACACACAGGTATTTATTTGTATATGCACAGAAAAGATTTTAAAGTCTAGAAACTAATAAAATTTTTGTTACTTCATGGAGCTGGCAGGGAGAAGAAGGTAGAAAGACAAAAGATTTTCATAGCATATTTCATATGTTTATAAATTGCTTGATTTGTTTTTGCAATAAACATGTAATTTTTAGAATTAAAAAAATTTTTTTGTGTGTGTCTTTGGGATTTTTTTTGAGACAGAGTCTTGCTCTGTCACCCAGGCTGGAGTACAGTGGGCATGATCTCGACTTACTGCAACCTTGACCTCCCAGGTTCAAGTGATTCTTGTGCATCAACCTCCCTAGTAGCTGGGATTACAGGTATGTGCCACCAAAACTGGCCTAGAATTAAAATTTTAACTTAAGTAATAGTTGTGTAATTGTAATAAAACATATTGAGTCACTCAAAAAACACAGAGTATCTACTATATGTATCAAGCAGTATTGTGGATGCTAATTAACAAAACTGAAATGGTCAGGCCCTCACAATGGCTCATGCCTGTAATCCCAGCACTTTGGGAGGATGAGGCAGGAGGATCACTTGAAGCCAGGAGTTCAAGACCAGCCTGGGCAACACAGTGAGAATTTATCTTTACAAAAAAAATGTTTTAAAAATTAGCTGGGCAAGGTGGTGCACACCTGTAATCTCATCTATTCACCTATAGTCCCAGCTTCTTGGGAAGCTGAGGAGCAAGGATTGCTGGAGCCCAGGAGTTCAAGATCACAATAAAGCTATAATCATGCCACTACACTCCAGCCTGGGTGACAGAGTGAGACCCTGTCTCTAAGCAAACAAAATTCACTTCATCTTTCCTGAAATTGACTAGTTTTATGTAATTGTTCCACCTCACCTTCTATGGAAGGAAATTCAAATAGCCAATAAATATAATAAGACATGTCAAAAAAATTTTAAATGCCCAAGGCTGGTATGGGAATTTGGGAAACCTCACACATTATAGGTTGTTACAAACTTTTTGAAGGGCAACTTGAGACTATGTCACAAAAGCCTTAAAAGAAACTCATACCTTTTGACCTAGTTAGTAATTCCATTTCAAGGAATTTATCCAAGAAATTATTCATGGAAATGTGCAAATTAAATAAATAAAATAATGATAAATGAGAACCTACCAGTCCATTTAAGTTCTTTATGTTGTTTCTTCCTAATGATAATATCCTCAAGTTTTCTGTAGTGAAAAGAAAACATTTTTTTGTTTACTAGAATCATATTACACAATTGTACATCTAGTATAATAAAGCTTTAATAAGTTTTATATAATAGATATCCTTATACAATGAGTAAGAAAGGTTGTGTTAACAAAAATGGGTAATCAAGTGGAAAATAACATTGACCTATCATCTAAGGCAAACACTACAGGTATAATTTCATAACATGTCACTATTAAATTAAAAAATGATTAGCTATCTGGAACACATGATCTTAAATTGCTGGCTAAATAAAAATATTACAGGATAAAATAGCAGTAGAGAATACTTTAAGTTTGGGAACATACATATTTCAAATCTCTTATAAGAACTCACACTAGAAAATAAGAACATATATTTATGTATTGTCCACCTCACTCTATGAAGAATTAGAAGTGAAATAAAATAAATTTGGTATTTAAAAAAATAATTTGCTTTTAATCTTTTAAATAATTAGACTGTGATTTGGTTTAAAAATAAAACACCTAAAAAAATACAAAATAAAATACCTATCTGTATTTTTTAAAGGTTATATCTATTTCTACTATCTATAGGCTATTTCTGGAGTAAGATACAAGGGGTGAGGGGTACTGGGATAGAAGATTAAAAGATTAATAAGATGATGCTTTTTCTCAAATAATTCACTATCTTAAGAGCAGAACATCTTCCCAACTAACTATAATAATGGTTAATATTTATTGAGCATTTTCTATGCACCAGGCACAATTCTGTGTACTCTATATATACTAACTCAATCTTCACAATAATTATATGAGATAGGTAATTATTATTATAATCCAAGGTAGACTGTTATGAATATTCCCAAAAGAGTAATTAATTTTTATGATGAAGTTGAGGGAAGTCTTTAAGGAGGGAGTGACATTCAAATGTGGCATTCATAACCTTTTTTTCTTGAGACAAGGTCTTGCTCTGTTGCACAGGCTGCAGTGCAGTGGCACCATTATAGCTCACTGCAGACTCACTCTCCTGGGCTCAAGCAATCCTCTTCCCAAGTAGCTTGGACTACAGGTACACATCACCATGCCCAGACAATTTTTAAAAATTTTAGCAGAGACAGGGGTCTCACTTTGTTGCCCAGGCTGGTCCTGAACTCCTGAGTTTAAGTGATCCACCTGACTCAGCCTCCCAAAGTGCTGGGATTATAGGTGTGAGCCACAGTGTCTGGCTGCATTCTTAAATCTTAATTTCTTACAGGATTTTCCTGTTACAGGAAGAAGCTGTTCTCAGTGAAAAGTAATGCATTAATAAATGTTACAAAGTCATTTTTAAAAATAGTATATTTGGGTGTGAATTGGATAGTACAAGTTTTTAGATGACTTTGAATGCAACATTAAGGCATTTGGTGTTTTCTAGGCAAAGAGGTACCATTAAAAGGTCTCTGATATGATGATATTCAAATAATATTTTTAGAAAGAAAACTCTGTTATCAGTGATGAAGGCCACCTGAAGGGCAGAAAGACAGGAGAAAAGGAGATCAGTTAGGAGGCTACTGAGGGATCTGTTAGGTAAACAGTTAGGGCTGGTCCTTGGAAAAGCAGCCCATCTGAAAAATCACAGCTACAGGCAAAAATAGAGCACCCTGGGGAAAACTCAGGCTGCAACTGCATGGATAAGTATGTAGGGTTCAGCACAGATTGTTCTTTGTGAAATTGGCAGGCTCCCAGGAAAAAGTTTCTTTCGTAGGCTCCCTGGGAACTTGTACAGGGAGGAGGGGGACTTACTTAAAATAAACCCATTTACTTACCTAAATTATACAAACAAGAGAAGCAGTGCTTTATCCTTGCCTAGAGATATACCAACAACTACATAGATAAAGGGGAGTTGTGCAGACAGCTTTTCAGATAAGAGGAGTTACTCAAACAGCTACAGCAGTGAGAGAAATATCTTATAAAAGCTTTTGAATTCAACTTTAAAAAAATGCAACTCAGGCTTCCCTCTCTGCTACAGAGAGCTTTCTTTTTTCACTCATTAAACTTTCACTGCAACCTCACCCTTTGCAGCTACATACCTTAATTTTCTCAGTCATGAGACAATGAACCTCGGGTAACACCTTAGATAATGAGACCAGTGACCCTGACCTGTTTTACTATCACAAAGGTTGTAAGAGACAGTGTTTTTCAGACTATGGGTAATGAGCCTAAATTAATAGGTTGTGAAATCAATTTAGTGTGTTGTGATCAGCATTAAAAAAAAAAAGCAGAAATAAAAATTTAAAAATACATAATGGAACTGGCCAGGCATGGTGGCTCACACCTGTAATCCCAGCACTTTGGGAGGCTGAGGTGGGCGGATCACTTGAGGTCAGAAGTTCAAGACCAGCCTGGTCAACATGATGAAATCCTGTCTCCACTAAAAACACAAAAATTAACCTTGGGAGGCGAGGCGGGTGGATCACAAGGTCAAGAGATAGAGACCATCCTGGTCAACATGGTAAAATTCTCTCTCTACTAAAAATACAAAAATTAGCTGGGCGTGGTGGTGCGCACCTGTAGTCCCAGCTACTCGGGAGGCTGAGGCAGGAGAATTGCTTGAACCCAGGAGGTGGAGGTTGCGGTGAACCGAGATCGAGCCATTGCACTCCAGCCTGGGTAACAAGAGCGAAACTCCATCTCAAACAAACAAACAAACAACACAAAAATTAGCCAGGCGTGGCAGTGGACACCTGTAATCCCAGCTACTCAGGAGGCTGAGGCTGCAGAATTACTTGAACCCAGGAGGCAGAAGTTGCAGTGAGCTGAGATTGTACCACTGAATACCAGCCTGGGCAACAAAATGAAAAAAAAATACTGGAACCTTGCTATATAAGGTTTAATACTGTCTTACAAACTTTAAGTTTGTATGTGTATGTACATATTTGATATGCATATTCATATGGATGTATAATAAATTCAGATGTATTTCTTACTATGGAAAGTGGTCAAATGTTTGAAGAACAATGACCTAAGGGGAAGATGATGAGGGTCTAAATGAAAGTTGTAACTCCTTGAAATGGAAAAGCAACACTTTCTTTGAGAGCTCCTTCAAAGAGTCGAGTTAACAGGATTTAGTGATGAACTTGCACGTAGGGCTTGAAGAGAGACCATAGTAGTAAGCTAAACAATGGCTCCTCAAAAGATACCTACATTCTAATCCCTGGAACCTGTAAATGTTACCTTATATGGTATAAAAAAGTACTTTGCAGATGTGATTAAGGATCCTGAGAGATGGGGAAATTATCCTCAAGATCAGGGTGTGCCCTAATGCAATCACATGTATCCTCATAAGAGGGAGGCAGGCAGAGATTTGACACAGAAGGAGAAGCCAATGTGACTACAGGCAGAGATTGGAGTGATAAGTCACAAGCCAAGGAATGCAGCAGCCACCAGAAGCTGAAAAAGGCTAGAAAAAGATTCTCCTCCCTCTGGAGGCTTGATTTTCGCCAGATGAAACTGATTTCAGACTTCTGGTCTCCAGAACCATAAGAGAACAAATATCTATCGTTTTAAGCCATCGAGTTACAGCAGCCATAGGAAACTAATAAAGAGTCAGAGGCCTTGGCAACTGGGAAGGTGCAATGTCATTAACAAGAATAAGGAGCACAGGAAAAAAAAAATAGAGATGACAAGGAATTTTATGACAAGGAATTTAAATATAACAAGTTTGAAATACAGACAAAACAAATCTGAACAAAGAAATATATAATTAAAAATCTGATATTCTATTTAAGATGTCTCAACTCTAACTGTATAAAAGCTTTTAAATGTTTTTAAAATGTTCAGAGCTCATGCTATCTCTAATTTTCTTTGGATAATCAAACTTAAGACATAGTTGGCCTGGCGCGGTGGCTCACGCCTATAATCCCAGCACTTTGGGAGGCCGAGGCAGGTGGATCATGAGATCAAGAGATCAAGACCATCCTGGTCAACAAGGTGAAACCCCATCTTTACTAAAAATACAAAAATTAGCTGGGCATGGTGGATCGTGCCTGTAGTCCCAGCTACTTGGGAGGCTGAGGCAAGAGAATTGCTTGAACCCAGGAGGCGGAGGTTGCGGTGAGCCGAGACCACGCCATTGCACTCCAGCCTGGGTAACAAGCACGAAACTTGATCTCAAAAAAAAAAAAAAAGGCATAGTTTATGTATTCTATTGTCTGACAACAAGTATGGCTAAAACAGGTGCCAGCTTCTGGAATTACATATTGTCTCTGGAATGTTTATTACAATAACTAGGAAATCCATGAACCATCTGTTACTGTGAATCACTTACTTAAGCCATTCAGGTTGGCAATTTTTTCAATGCAGTTTGTAGACAGTGAAAGCTTCCTTTAAAAGAACAAAGAAAAAATTTAAATTAATGTGAAAAACTTAAGTGGTAAATCAGAAATTATTCCTTAACAATAGTGCCCATGAAAGATAATATTTAAGTCATATTTTTTCCCACTCAATCATAGCATTTATTGGCCAGACACAGTGGCTCATGCCTGTAATCCCAGCACTTTGGGAGGCCAAGCAGGCAGATCGCCTGAGGTCAGGAGTTTGAGACCAGCCTGGCTGGCCAACATGGTGAAACCCCGTCTCTACCAAAAAAAAAAAAAAAAAATTAGCCAGGCGTAGTCACCTGTAATCCCAGCTACTTGGGAGGCTGAGGCAGAAGAATCACTTGAACCTGGGTGGAGGAGTTTGCAGTGAGCCGAGATCATGCCACTGCACTCTAGCCTGGGGGACAGAGTGAGACTCCGTTTAAAAAAAAAAACCATAGCAGTTATTACTTCATTTTGAAATCGTTGTTTTTCTCTAATTATGTAAGTTAATAAATACTTATTAAAAATTTGAAAAAAATCCTCTTGAGGGCAATTTGGTATTAGCGATTTTTTTCTTCTTGAGATGGAGTCTCCCTGTGTAATCCAGGCTGGAATGCAGTAGCACCATTTCAGCTCACTGCAACTTCCACCTCCCTGGTTCAAGCAATTCTCCTGCCTCAGCCAACCAAGTAGATGGGATTACAGGCACCTGCTATCATGCATGGCTAACTTTTGTATTTTTAGTGGAGACATGGTTTCATCATGTTGGCCAGGCTGTTCTTGAACTCCTGACCTTAAGTAATCCACTTGCCTGGGCCTCCCAAAGTGCTGGGATTAGAGGTGTGAGCCACCACATCTTACCCTGGTATTATCAAATTTTTAAATGCATAACATTTCTTGACCCAGTTTTCCACTTCTAGAAATACATCTTACTGAAATATTAATATAAATGTCAAAAGATATATGTGTTACTGGAATAGCAGAAAAATTGAAAAAAATCTCCGGGCGAGGTGGCTCACACCTGTAATCCTAGCACTTTGGGAGGCTTAGGCAGCGGATTGCCTAAGATCAGGAGTTTGAGCCCAGCCTGGGCAACACGGTGAAACCCCGTCTCTACTAAAATAAAAAAAAATTAGCTGGGCATGGCGTCATGTGCCTGTAATTCCAGCTACTCTGGAGGCTGAGGCAGGAGAATTGCTTGAACCTAGGAGGTGGAGGTTGCAGTGAGCCGAGATCGCACTACTGCAGTCCAGCCTAAGTGACACAGGGAGACTCTGTCTCAAAAAAAAAAAAAAAAAAAAATCTACAAACACCTGTTAACTGAGGAACAGATAGTGAAATACTAAGCTGCCACTAAAACAAAGGAGATTGGGCTATAGATCTTGACTTGGGAAGATTTCTATGATACATAGTTTAAAAACCATTTAGCAGAACAATTCTTTTTTTTTTTTTTTTTTTGAGATAAAGTCTCACTCTATGACCTAGGCTGGAGTGCACTGGCACGATCTCAGCTCACTGCGACCTCCACCTCCTGAGTTCAAGCAATTCTCATGACTTAACCACCCAAGTAGCAGAGATTACCAAGTAGCGCCACCATGCCGTGCTTACTTTTGTATTTTTAGTAGAGACGGGGTTTTGCTGTCTTGGCCAGGCTGGTCTTGAACTCCTGACCTCAGGTGATTTGCCTGCCTCGGCCTCCCAAAGTGCTGAGATTATAGGTGTGAGCCACTGTGCCCAGCCTAGAACAATGTATTTTATTTTATTTTTGAGTTGGAGTTTCGCTCTTGTTACCCAGGCTGGGGTGCAATGGCGCGATCTCGGCTCACTGCAACCTCTGCCTCCTGGGTTCAGGCAATTCTCCTGCCTCAGCCTCCTGAGTAGCTGGGATTACAGGCACGCGCCACCATGCCCAGATAATTTTTTGTATTTTTAGTAGAGATGGGGTTTCACCATGTTGGCCAGGATGGTCTCGATCTCTTAACCTCGTGATCCACCCGCCTCGGCCTCCCAAAGTGCTGGGATTACAGGCGTGAGCCACGGCGCCCAGCCCAGAACAATATATTTTATATGATCCTTTGTGTTCAAAAAAAAAAAAACTCCACAAAACTATTTATATGTATTTGTGGAGATAGATATTATTTTCATGTGTTCAATCATTCCAAAATTTATATTGAAAAAAATTAATATATAACCTTTTTTCTTTTTGAAACAGGGTCTTACTCTGCCACCCAGGCTGGAGTACAGTGGCGCAATCTCAGCTCACTGCAACATGTGCCTCCTACCTAGGTTCAAGTGATCCTCCTACCTTAGCCTCCAAGTATCTGGGACCACACATGTGTACCACCATGCCCGGCTAATTTTCTTGTATTTTTAGTAGAGCAGGGTTTCACCATGTTGGCCAATCTGGTCTCACACTCCTGACCTTGTGATCCGCCTGCCTCAGCCTCCCAAAGTGCTGGGATTACATGCGTGAGCCACTGCACCCAGCTGATACTGACTTTTAATAGTCTTCATATGTATCTTCCCAGACTTTTTCTATATGTTATTTTAATTATATAAAAACAAACTTTTTAAAGGGAACAGAATTACACATCCTCAGTCTTCTTTTCTTGATAAAACTTTAAATATCTTAGTAAGTTTCATGCAAAAAATAAAGCTAGGAGCAGTGGTGTGCACCTGCAGTCCCAGCTACTCAATAGTCTGAAGCATGAGAATTACTTTTGCCCAGGAGCTGGAGTCCACCCTAGGCAAAAGAGCAAGATCCCATCTCAGAAAAGAACAAAAACCTACCAAAACACAAACAAACAAAACCTACATATATACATAATAAAAGTGTGTGTGTGTGTGTGTGTGTGTGTGTTTTAAGAGGACAGGGTCTCACTCTGTTGCCCAGGCCGGAGTGCAGTGGCACAATCATAGCTCACTGCAGCCTCAAAGTTCTGGGCTCAAAAGATCCATCTGCTTAAGACTTCCAAGTCACTGGGATTACAGGTATAAGCCACTATGCCCAGAAATAAAAGCTAATTTTGTTTAACACTTAATGTGTATCCAGTATTCTTCCAAACACTTTACTTGTATTAACTATTTTAATCATCATAATGATCTTTTGGGTAAGTATTATTATTATCCACATTTTACCAATGAAATTGAGGCACAAAAACATTTTCTTAATATTACATACTCAAAAAGTGGCAGGACCAAAATGAAAACCCAGGTTAAGTTTGATTCCAGATCATGCATCTTACCCTTCATGATTTGACTTTAAGGAATCATTCTTTTATTATTATTATTATTATTCTATTTAAAACAGCAAAAGAGGTTGGGCACAGTGGCTCATTCCAGCACTTTGGGAGGCAGAGGCAGGTAGATAACCTGAGGTCAGGAGTTTGAGACCAGCCTGGCCAACATGGTGAAACCTCATCTCTACCAAAAACATAAAATTAGCCAGGCTTAGTGGCACATGCCTGTAATCCCAGCTACTCAGAAAGCTGAGACAGAAGAATTGCTTGAACCTTGGAGGCAGAGGTTGCTGTGAGCCGAGATCGCGCCATTGCACTCCAGCCTGGGCAATAAGAGCAAAACCCTATCTCAAAAAAAAAAAAAAAGTAATTACCATATCATGTAAAGACTGGTCAAATCTGTATACTTTGTAGTCATCCCCTACTCCTGAGAACTCCTAGTGAAAAATGGAGTGCCTTAAAATCTAGGAATATGGTTGGGAAATAATTCTTTAATTCTTGTTGAGGGAGCCAGTGCAAAGAGATTATCAGCAAAATATGAACAGGTTGACTCCAGGTGATTTACAAGGCACTTTGGTATGAAGTACAAAACCTTCTCAAGTTAGTTTGCCTTTGAGATTGGTTTATGACACACTGTGTTCTCATCACAAAGAACAAGCTGCATACAAAAGCTAAATGTTTGCTCTCCCCTTTGATCCCACAGATGGATATCAGTCTAATGGTGGGTTCACAAATATGTGTCTTAGAATTACCCAAGTTACTTACTGTAAATTCAGATTCTTAGGTCTCATCAGTAAATAATCTGTTTCTATAAATTTGGGATGGGGCTGATCTCCTGCATAAAGTGCAGATAATCAAGGATTACACTTAGACAAACACAGGGTGAAGAAATCAGAAAAAAAAAACAAAACAAAAAAAAAACCCCAGTGATTCTATGGTATACTATAGCCCTGACAAGAGAAACTTATAGCCTAAAAACATGGTTACAAGGCAACATGATATAATTGCCTCAAATTAGCCACAGAATCCTGCTAAATCATGTCTTGAGAAAATAAATTAAAAGAAATTACTATAGATCTGACAAAGTCACAGGATATATTACAAAATAAGTAGGCCAGGCACAGTGGCTCATGCCTGTAGTCCCAGCACTTTGGGAGGCCAAGGTGGGTGGATCACTTGAGGTCAAGAGTTTGAGACCAGCCTGCCCAACATGGTGAAACCCCATCTCTACTAAAAATACAAAAAATTGGCTGACTGAGGCAGGAGAATTGCCTGAACCCAGGAGGCGGAGGTTGTGGTGAGCCGAGATCGCGCCATTGCACTCCAGCCTGGGTAAACAAGAGTGAAACTCCGTCTCAAAAAAAAAAGGGAAAAAAATATAAGAATAAAAAGAGAAATTAAAAAAAAAAAAAAAAATTAAAAAAAAAAAAAATACAAAAAATTAGCTGGGTATGGTGGTGAGTGCCTATAGTCCCAGCTACTTGGGAGGCTGAGGCAGAAGAATTGCTTGAACGTGGGGGGCAGAGGTTCCAATAAGCCAAGATCACGTCATTGCACTCCAGTCTGGGTGACAAAGAATGTCTCAAAAAAAAAAAAAAAAAAAAAAAAGGATAATTTGATCCCAGTTAGAATTTTTTTTAAAAAGTTAGAAGTCTCTACAAAAATGCTAGCACTGGTTCTCACAAGGTGTTGTGAATTGGGTTAATGTTAATTCCTTTTCTTTGTGCTGTTTATATTTTCCAATGTTTTACAATAAGTTTTTTACAATTTTAACGATTTTTTTTTAAGGGGTATCATTTAGGCATGTAGTAAGTAAATATAGTTCTGACTTTGGTTGATAATTTTACAAGAGAAAGTAGTAAATTTCATAACAGAGTCATAGTTTATTGTGGTGCTCACTTCAGCAGCACTTGTACTAAAATTGGAACAACAGAAGATTAGCATGGCCCCTGCGCAAGGCTAACATATACATTCATGAAGTATTCTGTATTTAAAAAAATATGAGGCTGGGCGTGGTGGCTCACACCTGTAATCCCAGCACTTTGGGAGGCCAAGGTGGGTGGATGACAAGCTCAGAAGTTCAAGACCAGCCTGGCTAAGATGGTGAAACTCCATCTCTATTTTAAAAAATAATAATAAATAAATACATATGCTTCTACACAGCAGAGTAAAAAATCAACAGAGTGAAGAAGAGAAAACCTGTTGAATGGGAGAAAATATTTGCTTTCTCTATATATATGGTTTGTTGTGTTATTTAGCTTCTCCCCAAAATACTTGATTTATATTTTGAAACACATTATAACAACCGTACTAAAAATATGGTACCGTTCAATATTTTTCTATTAATAATCCTGTAAACCAGTAATTTTTCATGTTTGGCCTTGCTGAAGGGAAAATTACAGTAAGCAAACAAAAAATAAATGAAGACCACAGAAAACAAACATATTTTCCTATTTTGTGTGTTTAAGAAAAGAAAGGGAAACCTAGTAGCAATACTGGAAGGATGAAAAGAGAACTTACTCGCAATTAGCAAGCGTGGACAAGGAGGCATCCATCTTCTCTATGGGGGGAATCTGGGCATAAAGTTTTATCTCTTTGGCTTCAGATGGCCTCTGGCCAGTTTTCTCTTCCTATGAGAAAAATACATTTGGAAGAAATAATCCATGATTATAATGTGGAACCAAAAGAGGTCAGCATTTCCCAAGATTTTTCTGTTTATTTTGAAACAATTGTTAGAATTTAACAAACTGTTTAATAATTCTTTACCATTAACTTATTGAAAACACTTACCTACTAACCCTGATAATCAGATTTATATGTGGCTGAATCAGATAACTTAGATCCCTACCAAATTATAGTGAAAAGGAAATTTAAAAAAACTTTTATTTTTGTGGCATTTAAAATTTGAAAAGGACACAAACAAATGCAAAGACATCTCATGAGATGTCTCCACATCTGTGGAGGTGCTGCCCTTTGATAACCCTCAGTCGGACAAGGAGGCCTTGCAGGAGGGCCGTGCGGCCACCCTCCGGTACCCTCGGAGCCCCGATGGCTACCTCCAGATTGGCTTCTTCTACAAGGGAGTGGCAGAGGGAGAGGTGGACCCAGCCTTCGGCCCTCTGGAAGCTCTGCGCCTCTCCATCCAGACAGACTCCCCTGTATGGGTGATTCTGAGTGACATCTTCCTGAAAAAGGCCGACTAAGCCGAGGGCTTCTGAGGGTACCCTGTGGCCAGCCCTGAAGACCATGTTTCTGGGGAATGTCGTCATTGTTGTCCCCGGAGGGTCAGATATGGCCCTGCCTGAAGGGTTCTGCCCGGCGCCAGGCTCGGGCCGGCCTGGGGTCCGCCGCTGGCCCGGAGGCCCCAGGAGCTGGTGCTGTCCCCGCCCACCAGGCCGCAGAGGAGGCAGGCGGCCCCCACACTGTGCCTGAGGCCTGGAACCGTTTGCACCGGCCTGCCCCAGCCAGGTCGTTTTAGAAGAGCTTTTACTTGGGCGCCCGCTATCTCTGGCACGAACACTGGAATGCATATACTACTTTATGTGCTGTGTTTTTTATTCTTGGATACATTTGATTTTTTTCACGTAAGTCCACATATACTTCTATAAGCGCGTGACTTGTAATAAAGAGTTAATGAAGAAAAATAAATAAAATACCTGATTTCAAAATATATTATAAGGTGAACACAACCCAAACAGCACAATATTGGTATAAAAGCAGATACAAAGACCAATAGAATGGAATGGAGAATCCAGAAATAAGTCCATGTATTTACAGTCAACTGATTTTTGACAAAGGCGCCAACAGCACACATTGGGAAAAGGATACCCTCTTCAATAAATGGTGCTGGAAAAATTGGATATCCAAATGCAGAAGAATGAAACTGGACCCCTATCTCTCACCATATGCAAAAAATCAACCATGATGAATTAAAGACTTAAAGACTCAAAACTACAAAGCCACTAGAAAAAAATATAGGAAAAACACTTCAGGACATTGGTATAGGAAAAGATTTTATGGCTAAGACCTTAAAGCACAGTCAACGAAAATAAAAATAAACAATGGAACTAAAACTAAAAAGCTTCTGGCCAAGCATGGTGGGTCACGCCTGTAGTCCCAGTACTTTGTGAGGCCAAGGCAGGTGGATCACTTGAGGTTAGGAGTTCAAGACCAGCCTGGCCGACATGGCGAAACTCCATCTCTACTAAAAATACCAAAAATGAGCCAGGCATTGTGGCACATGCCTGTAATCCCAGCTATTTGGGAGGCTGAAGCAGGAGAATTGCTTGAATCCAGGAGGTGGAGGTTGCAGTGAGCCGAAATCATGCCATTGCACTCCAGCCTGGGCAACAGAGTAAGACTCCATCTCAAAAAATAAAAATAAAAATAAAAGGCTTTTACACAGCAGAGGAAACAATCAACAGAGTGAAGAGAAAAATCTCTTGAATAGGAGAAAATATTTGCAAACTATTCATCTGACAAGGGAACTCAACTCAATGGTAAAAAGACAAACAGGCACAGTGGCTCCTGCCTGTAATACCAGCAATTTGGGAGGCCAAGGGAGGTAGGTTGCTTGAGCACAAGAGTTGGAAACCAGCCTGAGCAACATAGCAAGGCCTCATTTCTACAAATAATTTAAAAATCAGCCAGATGTGGTGGTGCATGACTGTGGTCCCAGTTATTCGGGAGGTTGAGGCTGTGGTGGGAGGATCACCTGAGCTCCACTGCAATCCAGCCTAGGGGGACAGAAAGCCTGGCCCCAGAAAAACAAACTAATTAACAAAACTAACAAAACGAGAAGCTCAGGGACCATTCCTTTGCTTTCCTGTATTTTTTATAACCTATTGCAGTGTAAGAGACACAAAACTCCTTTCAAAAACTTATATCACCACATATCAATAATAGAAAATAGGCTGGGCACAATGGCACTTTGATAGGCTGAGGCAGGAGGATCACTTGAGCTCAGGAGTTTGAGACCAGTCTGGGCAATATAGTGCAACCCTATCTATACTTTAATAAAATTAAAAGAAAAATAAAATGTATCAAAGTAATAATAATAATGATAGAAAATATACAATCAGTTGTAAAAATCTAAAACACATCCACTCAGTGCTTATTTTTATGTTATCTATTTGTAGGTTAGAGGAGGAGAAAGTGACATCTAGTAGATCCTCAATAAATGTTGGGTGAATCAATGAAAAAGTGAGATTGATGTTTTCAAATAAAGTCAAAAATGCATGGGCCAGGCACAGTGGCTCATGCCTGTAATCCCAGCACCATGGGAGGCTGAAACAAGAGGATCAGTTGAGCTCAGGAGTTCAAGACCAGCCTGGGCAACATAATGAGACTCTGTCTCAACAACAACAACAACAAGAAATTAGCCAGGTGTGGTGACGCACACCTGTAGTCCCAGCTACTCAGGTGTTAGAGCCTAGGACACCAAGGCTGCAGTGAACTATGATTGTGCCACTGCACTACAGCCTGGGTGACAGAGCGAGACACTGTCTTAAAAAAAAAAAAAAAAAAAGTAAAAAATGTATGGCCATAATGTAATCTAGAAACAGACTCTACCAGCCAAAACAAAAAAGCACTAGTTACTGTAAGTAAAGTCTCAACATCCAATTCAAGGAAAATTAAATCTTGTACTAAGTCTACTCCATACTCCTTTTTTCTTAAGATTTTTCATTATATATTTAACCAAACAGGAATAAATTATAAAAATACATTTAAAGTAAATGAGAAATGTATAAGCACTAAAACAAGAATTCAAGTATTTCATTATTTTGTCGAAGTTTGTCTATTTTCCCTAGACACCAATGCTTCTGAAAGCCTTTTTATTCAAAGCCTAGTTACAAAACCAAAAGGTACATTATTATACAAAAAAACTACACTTGATCTTAGCCAAAAGGCCGAGAAGCAATGCAAAAAAACTACTGATAACATAGACAAATAAGTTTATGGACACAGAAATTCAGGAGTCATCTCTGTACTCTATGACAATTCTGTCTATATGCTGAATTATAACTGTTCAAACTTTATTAGCATGTTATAGAAAACTGAAAATATAATTTACATATAATGCACATTTTTTACAATGTATTTTCCTTTCTAGTATTGCTATATGCTTTAGTATTTTTATTGTTTTTTTTCAATTGTATATGCATGATCTACATTTGTCCACATTGATTTAGCCTCTAGGAGGCTAAAACCACCCTCTAAAGCCTAGATAATCCACAATTCATATGACTCTAGCATATGAAAATGACATGTAGTTTAGTGATTATAAAGTTGAAAAAGAAAATGTACTAACCCAGAAATTCCAGCAATTTTATAGCGATAGATAAAATCACCCTTTCCATATTTAAATTTTCCAGTGGTCAGATTTTTTTAACTGAAAATTTTATTATTATATTTGAAGTTTGTCTAGTTCCCCCAAGGATAACATTTTATGACTATAGTATAACATAACTAGGGTACTGCTATTGATACAATCCACTGATTTTATTCATATTTTCCCAAATTTGCTTGTACTCATGCGCATGTATGGCTGTGTGTAAGTATGTGTGTACTAAGTCTTATACAATTTTATCATCTGTGTAGGTTCATGCATCCACCTCCATAGTCAAGATAGCTGAAGCGCTCCAATACCAAAAGGATCATTTGTATTAAATAATTGGATTTGAATAACTATCCAACATTTTTCCTTGTACGGTTTCTAAAAAAAGGAAAAACTCATGTACTCACCCATCTCGCTAAGGCTTCTTTGATTGTTGTTGCTTTTGCCTTTAAAAAAAAAAAAGAAAAAAAACACAAAACAAAGTTGTCTTTATTTACTTAATTATTTTTTGCGACAGTCTTGCTTTGTTGCACAGGCTGAAGTACAATGATACCATCTCTGATCACCTCAATCTCCACCTCCTAGGTTCAAGTGATTCTCCTGCCTCAGCCTTCCAAGTAACTGGAATTGCAGGCACGCATCACCACACCTGGCTAATTTTTTGTATTTGTAGTAGAGCCGGGATTTCGCCATGTTGGCCAGGCTGGTCTAGAACTCCTGACCTCATGATCTGCCTGCCTTGGCTTCCCAAAGTGCTGAGATTACAGGCGTGAGCCACCAGCCCCAAAGTGGTCTTTATTGGTGTGATTTTTTGATTCACTTTTCATGCAATAACTACTAGCCTTGGTTTCTACCATTAAAAGGATTGATTTCTTTCTTTGAGACTTTATATACAAAGAGGATGTTTTAATTTCCTGAAATCAGAATGATTTATTTGAGTGTATCTGAGAAAAAATAAGAAAATCATTATGTAACATCCATACACTTCACTCCAACTTGGCTTACAAAAATATGTAGCTTTCAATACTTGATATTAAAATATATATTATTTAATTGATTCTAAGGATCTACATCTTTCTTACATTTTAATATTGAAATTTGGATGCATTTTATAATCAGGAATAATTTATAATTGTTGTGGGCTGGTGGCAGTGGTGACATTTTAGAAAAATATTAACCACTTTATTTCCTATCATATATTCCTTTTTATGTTTGCAAAGGATGAAGATAAAGGATAGGATAAAAATCTGTATGTCTACATACATTTAAAAACTCTATCAGTAAGTACAAAATAAAAATTTTAAATGATAATAAAGTATTTGTCATAGTTCAATTCAAACCAATTTTTTCTTAGTAAAACATAAAATAATGTTGCACCTTATAATTAATAGCAGCTTAGATTCAATTTAATATATTTAAAACTCTAAAGGTATTCAAAGGAAGATATCCCTAATGAATTATTGCTGGTACTCTTTTTAAAAAAAGAACCCCAAAGAATAACAAAAGAAAAGTTTTTAAACTATGTGAACAAATGTGAACCTGAAAGAACCAATACTTCAAGATGAATCCTGAGTAGTTAACTGGGCCTAAATTTAAAACAGGGCCTAACCTAGGCACAGTGTCTCATGCCTATAATCTCAGCACTTTAGGAGGCCAAGGTGGGAGGATCACTTGAGGCCAGAAGTTCAATACCAGCCCAGGCAACATAGCTAGACTCCATCTCTACAAAACAAAATAAAAAAATTAGCCTGGCATGGTGGTGCATGCCTGTAGGTCTAACTACTTAGGAGGCTGAGGTGGGATGATCAATTGAACCCAAAAGTTTGAGGTTACAGTGAGGCATGATTGCACCACCACATTCCAGCCTGGGCAACAAGGCAAGCCTGTCTCTGAAAAAATTAAATTAGATTAAATTGAATTAATTAGAGCCAAGCAGCCATTTGCTTACTAGAGGTCACACACATACTCTGAATTCCCCCAAAAAAACACACCTCTGTTCAACTTCGGGACTTCCAGCATTCATCGGAACTAATCAGAGCTCACCTGAATCAACCAATTGGCTTACTTGGGTCAACCAATCAAGACCCAGCTGTATCAACCAACCAGAACTGAGTGAGTTTGAATCCTTCATTTACATAAACAGACCTGATTGAGAAGATGGGCAGGAACTTTTGCTATAAAACTTAAGTTTTCCCTTTGTTCTCTGGAATAGAGAACACCTTCCTTCTACACTTAAGGCTGGATCTAGCCATACATAAACTGTTCTATGACGTAAGGTCTCTTCCCTGCATTTTCATTTTGAGAGGACTTTTGTTAACAAATATATACCATTATGTCTACAAAGTAAAGATAAACTAATAAATAACCCTTGGATTAAAAAGAAAATCATAAAATAATAAAAGAAAAAAAGTCAAAATTTGGGGAATGTAACACTAAGAAGAAAACTTACAAATTCAGATACATTTGTCAGAAAATAAGAGATAGAAAACAAATGAGCGGCCAGGTATTCCCTTTAAAATCTCAAACACATCAAGGGTCACTTCTAATCACCACTATGAATTATTATTAATAATAATTAATATATACTTATTTTTCTTCTCCTGGCTGGGAGAAGATATTTTCAGTACAAAACCAATGAGGACCAACATTTAGAATACACAAGGAACTCCTAAAATTCAAAAACAAAAAGGAAAATGGAAAAGTTGCCAAAAATATGAACAGATAATTCATAGAAACTGAAACCGAGATGGGTAATAAGAATATCAGGAAGGCTTGGCTGGGCATGGTGGCTCACACCTGTAATCCCAGCGCTTTGGGAGGCCGAGGTGGGTGGATCACAGGGTCAGGAGATCGAGACCATCCCTGCTAACACGGTGAAACCCTGTCCCTACTAAAAATACAAAAAATTAGCTGAGCATGGTGGCATGCCCCTATAGTCCCAGCTACTTGGGAGGCTGAGGCAGGAGAATCACTTGAACCTGGCAGGTGGAGGTTGCAGTGAGCCGAGATCACGCCACTGCACTCCAGCCTGGGCAACAGAGTGAGACTCCATCTCGAACAAACAAACAGAATATCTAGAAGGCTGGGCATGGTGGCTCAAGCTTGTAATCCCAGCATTTTGGGAGGCTGAAGTGGCCACATCACCTGAGTCCAGGAATTCAAGACCAGCGTGGGCAACATGGTGAAACCTTCTCTCTATTAAAAATACAAACAATTAGCCAGGCTTGATGGCACAGGCCTGTAGTCCCAGCTACTCCCAGGGGCTAAGGTGGGAGGATCTCGGGAGGTGGAGGAACCCTGATTGTGCCGCTGCACTCCAGCCCAGGCGACAGAGTGAGATATTGTCCCAAAAAAAACAAAACCAAACAAACAACAAATTTAACATTGAGAATCAGAAAAATGCAAAGTAAAACAACGGAACACTAAAATACATCCTCAGATTGGCAAAAGTTAGAAAGTTGGTGAGCACATAAAGAAACGGGAACTCTTGACTAGGCGTGGTGGCTCGCCTGCAATCTCAGTATTTTGGGAGGCTGAGATGGGCAGATCACTTGAGGTCAGGAGTTTGAGACCAGCCTGGCCAACATGGTGAAACTCTGTCTCTACTGAAAATACAAAACTTAGCTAGGTATGGTGGCACATGCCTGTAATCCCAGCAACTTGGGAGTCTGAAGCAGAAGAATTGCTCGAGCTCTGGAGGCAGAGGCTGCAGTGAGCAGAGACTGCACCACTGCACTCCAGCCTGGGCAACAGAGCAAGACTCTGTCTCAGAACAAAACAAAATGAACAAACAAGAAGAAATGGGAGCTCTCCTGCACTGCTGGAGGAAATAAATACTGGTCAAGCTATTCTGGAAAGCAGCCTGAAAAGTGCCTAGGGAAATTAAGTATACATAGACCCTATGATGGTATAATCCCACTCCTGGGTGTATTTCCAAGAGAAATCTTTTGCATGGGTCCATAAAAAGGTATTTTCACAACACTATTTGTAGAAAAAGGGTTGGACCCACCTAAGTGTTTATTGGGGCAATATAAATTGGTAAAAAGGTAACTGGTTTCCCTACAGATAGGAGTCAAAAACTAAAATGCCTAAAGGTCCTCATGGACATCACTAATGGGTAAAGCTGGCCAAGTAAGGGCAGAACCAGTGTAAAGAAGATAACCTCTACTTAGCTCCAGACAACTGTAAGCAGGTGGGACTTGGGGAAAAGAGCTACCCTAATATCATACTTCTTCAAATTAAAAAACTCCATTAATTGTAAGTAACACCTTTATTTTATGTAACATTAAGAAAAAAAAAATGCTGTCAATTATAACATACTATATCTCAGTAATATGAAAATGTGAAAAAAATGTGTCCAATGGTGAAACATATTTATTTTTCTTTTTTTTTTTTTTTGAGACCGAGTTTCGCTCTCATTACCCAGGCTGGAACGCAATGGTGCGATCTCCGCTCACTGCAGCCTCCGCCTCCTGGGTTCAGACAATTCTCCTGCCTCAGCCTCCTGAGTAGCTGGGATTACTGGCACGCGCCACCATGCCCAGCTAATTTTTTTGTATTTTTAGTATAGACGGGGTTTCACCATGTTGACCAGGATGGTCTCGATCTCTTGACCTCATGATCCACCCGCCTCGGCCTCCCAAAGTGCTGGGATTACAGGCTTGAGCCACCGCGCCTGGCCCTTATTTTTCAAGAAAAACTGGCAATCTTCATTTTAATGTGAAATATCATTTGAAGACATTGTCCTGAAGGTCATAAGGAAAAAAAAAAAGACACTGGAAGATAATTTTTTTTAATTTAAATACTATGTGGGCCCATATTTCTGGAGGGAACCCAGTTCTGCCAGTTTCCAGACTTAGCTAGTTCTAAATACAGTCATGTGCTGCATAGCAAATTTCGGTTAACAGACCACATATAAGACATAGTCACATAAGATTGTAATACTGTATTTTTACTGTAACTTTTCTATGTTTATTTATTTGAGACAGAGTCTTGCTCTGTTATTCAGGCTGGAGTGCAGTGGTGCAATCTTGGCTCACTGCAATCTCCACCGCCTGTGTTCCAGTGATTCTCATTACAGGCAGCCACTACATCCTGCTACTTTGTATTTTTAGTAGAGGAGGAGTTTCACCATGTTGGCCAGGCAAGTCTTGAACTCCTGACCTCAGGTGATTTCGCCTCAGCCTCCCAAAGTGCTGGCATTACAGATGTCTGGGATTACAGGCATGAGCCACAGCACCCTGGCTGCTTTTCTATGTTTAAATACACAAATACATTGTTTCAACTGCCTATAATATTCAGTACAGTAAAATACTGTACAAGTTTGTAGCCTAGGAGCAATAGCCTACACCATCTGGTTTTTGTAAGCATATTCTGATGTTTGCAAGGCAAAATTACCTAATGATGTGTTTCTTAGGCTATATCCCTGTCATCATTAGGTAATTTATAACTATACTGATTCAGATTCTTTATTTGAAGATTTTCAGCAATTGCCATAATACTTTCATAAATATTTAGGTCTGAGCGTTTCTTCACCTCAATATAAACCTAGTTCCAGAACTTTTAGCTTTCCTTGGCAGTGGTTTTCAGCTAACTGCCTGTGGAACAAAATAAGGAAAGCAGGAGGGAAACTACTTTGTAAAGAGTGGTATTTGCTGGGCATGGTGGCTCACGCCTGTAATCCCAGCACTTTGGGAGGCCGAGGCGGGTGGATCACAAGGTCAAGAGATCGAGACCATCCTGGTCAACATGTGAAACCCCGTCTCTACTAAAAATACAAAAAATTAGCCAGGCATGGTGGTGCGTGCCTGTAATCCCAGCTACTCAGGAGGCTGAGGCAGGAGAATTGCCTGAACCCAGGAGGCGGAGATTGCAGTGAGCCGAGATTGCGTCATTGCACTCCAGCCTTGGTAACAAGAGCAAAACTCCATCTCAAAAAAAAAAAAAAAAAGTGGTATTTAATCATGTTGAAGGCAGGCACGATTTCCTCATCATTTCCATCTCCTGGGCTCAACTTCTGCCCACTTATATAGCACTGGCATCACAAAAAGAAAACAAGTAATTATGCTTCTTCTTCATAAACATCTCTATGCCGTAGGACATCACAGACTTTGCTCAGTAGCTCTGGCTGGGTTTGTAGTGCTTTTTAGACAACTAGATAGAACTACCAAGTATGTAAGCAAGAGGGTGCATACTTCAAGTAAGAACTGAGGAGCATCTCTAGGTAAAACCATTACTTCATAAAGAGTTGTGACTGGATAGACAGCTGGTAGATTTCAAACCTAAGGCAATAGCATTTCTCAGTGTGGTGGGATTCCTCCCAATTTTATAATCAGTTGAGGTGTGTTGTCGAAATGCACATTCCTGAATTCATAATCTGCATTCCAACAAGCCCATACCTATGCATACTGAAATTTGAGAATCACTGCTCTAATACATCCATCAGAGTGTGTTTTACAGTGTTATCGAATCATTGCACTCGTAGTCATTCAGAAGGCAACCCGACTACATCACAGGTTATGAATGCTGCTGCAATCCGTGCTTTACAGACCCTTCTGGTAACCAGCCCCTTTCTGCATCTCGACGGGGGGGGGGGGGGGGGGGCTGTCACTAAAAATTACTTTTATGTAAAGAGATATCTTTATCTACACTCTACTTCCCATCACCCTTCCCACTCCAATGCGCTCTTTTTGGAGAATGTCTTGCTCTTCACCCTCCCTTTTCTCTTGTCAGAGTCCCTCCACCTTAACCCTACCTCCGATCCACCCCAGGCGGCCATCACCCCAGACCACCCCCGGCCAGGGCTTCTCTTTCTCCTCGGGCCCCTGACTCCAGAGAGCTAGCGTCACTTACCAGCTCCCTTCCGCTGTTTAAGGACCCCCAGACCCTCAACACTCCACAGTTACCCTTTTCCACTCCCAATCTTCTCTCAGCTTTGGCTACGCGGCCCGAAACGTACTCACCATAACGGCGGTTGCTACTGTCACTGCTCTGGTTGCTAGGGCCCGCGGGGTCAGTGCGCCTGCGCAATTCTCAGCGCTCGCCGCCAAGCCCCATCCCCGGCAGCGCTCCTTTCTCTCCGCCCTCAGGGTGGTGCGAGCGGGGCATTGTGGGACGGCGTGGCGGCTGCTGGGTTCCTCCTACCCGGCTGCTCCTGGCTGCCCTTTGGCTACTTAGGGCTTAACCGTGCAGAGTGGTCAGGATCGAAAGCAGTTTCAGCTGATTCTGGAATGACATGCCCGCCTAAAATTTAAAACCTTAAAACCTCCGCGTAACAACTGCCTTTCTCATAAAAGAATGTTCATAATTCCTTTCCCTACCGATGGCCTTTCCCATCCTTTTCCGGACGGGGGAGAATAAGCAGCTTGCTGTAATTTACCTCTCCATCTCACTGAGAATACCCAGAGCCAAACTCCACCGATTTCATGTTTCTTTACCCCGGATCCTCCAGGGAGCCAGAGGCAGCTGAAAGCTCAGTTCGTTTTATATCAGCAGGGTGTCTTAAATATCACACATTGTTCATTTTATATCAGCAGGGTGTCTTTTTTTCCCCCACCTACCAAATTAGCTAAAAATCATAAACAATAATAATAATTCATAGAGTTGCTAGGGGTGTGGAGAAATAGGGACACACAAATATGCTGCTGTTTAGAATTCATACAGCCTTTCTGGAAGGCTGTTGGCTGTTCAAAAACTTATGTATCCTGAAGAAATAATCAGATTAGAGCACAGAGATGTATGTTCAAAGCTTTAATAGCAAACAAACAAACAAATAAAACCTCAAATATTAACAAAACAGAATTGGTGGCCGGTACTGGTGGCTCATGACTGTAATCCCAGCACTTTGGAAGGCTGAGGTGGGAGGACCACTTGAGGTCAGAAGTTTGAGAACAGCCTGGCCAACATAATGAAACCCCGTCTCTACTAAAAATACAAAAATTAGCCAGGCGCGGTGGCACACATCTGTAGTCCCAGCTACTCCAGAGGCTGAGGCACGAGAATAGCTTGAACGCGGGAGGCAGAGGCTGCAATGAGCCGAGATGGCGAGACTGCACTCCAGCCTGGGTAACAAGAGCGAAACTCCGTCTCAAAACAAAACAAAAAAGAGGAGAGGAGGGGGAGAGAGAAAAGAGAGAAGAGAGGAGAGAGAATTGGTTAGTAGCAGAGAGTGAATTGGTTAGTAGCATTAACCAATATGTGCAATAATGTACTTCCACTAAAAAGTACAAATGACACGTGGTGGCTCACACCTATAATCCCAGCACTTTGGAAGGCTGAGGCGGGCAGGTGGATCACCTGAGGCCAGGAGTTTGAGACCAGCCTGACCAACATGGAGAAACCCCGTCTCTACTACAAATACAAAATTAGCTGGGCGTTGTGGCACATGCCTGTAATCCCAGCTACTCAAGAGGCAGGCTGAGGTAGGAGAATTGCTTGAACCCAGGAGGTGGAGGTTGTGGTGAGCTGAGATGGTGTCATTGCACTTCAGTCTGGGCAACAAGAGCAAAACTTCCGTCTCAAAAAAAAAAAAAAAGTACAAATGACTTGCTAAAAGGCATCTATTCACATGCAAAGATAGTCATATTTTAAGTAAAAATGGAAGTTACCAAACAAAATAGTTGGTATGTAGAATTATACAATGTATAATTCTTTTAAAATTATACATAGTGGCCTGGTGCAGTTTGTTCACGCCTGTAATCCCAGAACTTTGGGAGGCCAAAGCAAGAGGACCCCTTGAACCCAGGAGTTCAAGACCAGCCTGGACAACATAACAAGACCCGCCTGGACAACATAACAAGACCCTGGCTTTATAAAAAATGAAAATTAGCCAGATGTGGTGGTACACACCCATAATCCCCAGCTACTGGGGAGGCTGAAGCAGGAGGAATGCTTGAAGAGTTTGCAACTGCAGTGAGCTATAATTGTGCCACTGTCCTCTACCCTGGGCAACAGAGCCAGACTCTATCTCTGAAAAAAAAATTGCACATAATACACACACACACACACACACACACACACACACATATATATGGATATTATGTGGGCTTAATGTTGGCTATGGACTGAGTAGTGGCACACCAAAATTCATATGCAATGATCTAGTGACTTTCAGTTCTTTGATACTTTCTGAGAGCTCTTGGGGGAGGGGTTCCCTAAATTTTAAGCTTTAAAACCAGAAGGTTCAATTTCTGTTTATTTAAAAAAAACAAACAAACAAACAAACAAAAAAAAAACTGTCTATGGGACTATTGGATAGGTTTCAAAATCTTAGTACACTTCATATAAAGAACATTTTGAGTTCCAGATTCTTAACGGTTAAAAACATTCACACAGAAAATAAAAGAATTATATAACTTGGGCCCTTCTTTTGTTCTTTCATATCCTACAAAATGATAAAATAGATTCCAAAACCTGTTCACCAGAGAATATGTAGGTCTGCTTGCTTTTATGTCAGAGCTGGATAAAAGAAGTTGAAAGACGGGGTCCAAAGTGGCTCCCGCCGGAGGTCATGGCACTCGCGAAGGCGAGGTCATCAGTTCAAGGCTAACTTGAGCAATCTCATAAGCTCAAACTGATTGGCAAAAAAAAAAAAAAAGAAGTTGAAAGAAAGGTTAAAAGTAGTATTGAAGGCTGGGCCTGGTAGCTCATGCCTGTAATCCCAGCACTTTGGGAGGCCAAGATGGACAGATCACCTGAGGTAGGGAATTCCAGACCAGTCTGACCAACATGGTGAAATTCCATCTCTACTAAAAATAAAAAATTAGCACGGCATGGTGGCACATGCCTGCAATCCCAGTTACTCGGGAGGCTGAGGAAGGAGAATCACTTGAACCCGGGAGGTAGAGGTTGCAGTGAGCTGAGATGGCACCATTGCACTCCAGCCTGGGCAACAAGAATCAAACTCTGTCTCAAGGGTAGAAAAAAGTATTGAGCTGGGCGCGGTGGCTCAAGCCTGTAATCCCAGCCCTTTGGGAGGCCGAGGCGGGTGAAACACGAGGTCAAGAGATCAAGACCATCCTGGTCAACATGGTGAAACCCCTTCTCTACTAAAAAATACAAAAAATTAGCTGGGCATGGTGGCCTGTGCCTGTAATCCCAGCTACTGAGGAGGCTGGGGCAGGAGAATTGTCTGAACCCAGGAGGCGGAGGTTGTGGTGAGCTGAGATCGCGCCATTGCACTCCAGCCTGGGTAACGAGCAAAACTCCGTCTCAAAAAAAAAAAAAAAAGAAAAAAGTATTGAAACAGTGTCCCCTAATTCAGAACATCTAGCAGACCCTTTGAAAAGAATAAGTAAAATAGTGTTAAATAATACAAAACAGCTGGGCGCATTGGCTCATGCCTGTAATCCCAGCACTTTGTGGGGCTGAGGCAGGTGGATCACTTGCGGTTGGGAGTTCAAGACCAGACTGACCAACATGGTAAAACCCCATCTCTCAAAAAAAAAAAAAAAAAAAAAGAATAATACAAAACAGAACTAAATACAATATGTTAAGAAATCTTTAATTTTTAGGGCCAGGTGCAGTGGCCCATGCCTGTAATCCCAGCACTTTGGGACACTGAAACAGGCAGATCACTTTAGGTCAGGAGTTCAAGACTAGCCTGTCTAACTAACATGGTGAAACCCTGTCTCAACTAAAAACACAAAAATTAGCCAGGCATGGTGGCACACCCCTGTATTCCCAGCTTCTTGGGAGGCTGAGGCAGAATTGCCTGAACCAGGGAGGTGGAGGTTGCAATGAGCTGAGATTGCCCCACAGCACTCTAGTGTGGACAACAGAACAAGACCCTGTCTCTAAACAAATAAATCTTTAATTTTTTTGGTCTTAAACTCCTGAATTCAAGCAATCCTCCCGCTGTGGCCTCTCAAAGTGCTTGGATTACAGGCCTGAACCACTTCACTAAGGCCCATATTTTTTCTTGATGTTAATACTTTGAAACTTGTACTCAATTTTAAAAACAATGTTAATTTGGGGGAAGTTATTTAATATTACTACAAATTAGGGCAACAACTCTTCAACCTCTGCCAAGAAGAGCCCTCAAAAACCACTTTTTTTTTTTTAGATAGGAGTCTCACTCTATCACCCAGGTTGGAATGCAGTAGACCAGTCACAGCTCACTGCAACCCTGGCCTCCTAGGTTCAAGCAATCCTCCCACTTCAGCCCCCCAAGTAGCTGGGACCACAGAAGTGTGCCACCATGCCTGGCTAATATTTTGTATTTTTGGTAGAGACGAGGTTTTGCCATGATGCCCAGGCTGGTTTTGAACTGCAGAGCTCAAGCGATCTGCCCACCTCGGCCTCCCAAAGTGCTAGGCTTACTGGAATGAGCCACCATGCCCAGCTGCACAAAATCCACTGATCAACCAAAATAAAAGTCTAGTAGTTAATATCGTTACATTTCCCTTCAAATACTAAAAACAAATGGCAACTGCAAAACTAAAACTAAATTATAATGAGGACCAGAATTTTAACGTTTCAATTCTATACATTTTAAGTGTTTAGAATAAAAACTCAGAACTTCATCTAAGATTATCTTAACAAGTTAAAGCTCACCCACAAACTGTAATTAAGTTTTTGGTGGAGAAGGTAGAAGGTGAAAGGGATAAACTCTGTCTTTCCTTCAGATAATTACGTTGTCTACATGTTTAATTAGCAATTTGCAACTAGAACCTGGAACCTGCCTATTTCTAAACATAATTTTAAATAAAAGTGTGAAGGAAAGTTGTTTAAATTATACAGAGATAAGGGAACTGTGGAGAATCAAAGCAAGTGTTTCTCAGTAATTAGCTGCCATTCTAAAGACAAATATCTTAGAGTTTCCAACTTTCCCTAAAGATCCTGGAACAGGGTGCAACTAGACACATACCAAAATCTGATTAACAGCAGAAAATATTCTGTGACTTCAGTCCACCACCAATTAGCCTCTGAGTCATCCTGTTAGAATTTACTCTAGCCTCTGACTATTATGAGAAAATTATCATAACCCAGTGGTTCCTCATCATAAAACCAGGGGCCTATGTGTGTGTGTTCAGCCCTGGTCAAAACATATCTAAAACAGCTGGGTGTGATGGCTCATGCCTATAATCCCAGCACTTTGGGAGGTCAAGACAAGTGGATCACGAGGTCAGAAGTTCAAGACTAGCCTAGTCAACATGGTGAAATCCCATCTCTACTAAAAATACAAAAATTAGCTGGGCGTGGTGGAGGGCACCTGTAATCCCAGC